GGACAGATCGAGAAGCGGCTGATGGTGCTTTGTGGGTGGTCGAGCGCCTCGAGCAGCGGGGCCTCGAGCATTATCAAAGGTCAATGAAAGATATTACTGCTCTTCTTTCCCACTTTCATTTATCTCCCATTGATCCGTAGGCATTCTTTCTTTTTTAATGTACTAATTACCATCGTCATTATTAACTCTGAATACTTATGAAATTAAACGAATACATTATTAAGTCGACGCGAGCGAGGTTCATTCGAAGTTGGTGCGGTCGATGCGCACTCCGTATCATAACTTGGGGCCTATGTGACATATATATGTCCGGCCATGTGTTTTATGACAGAAGTGAAAGTCCGCCAGGGACTTTCACTTTCGACCATGTGTTTTTTAATTTCTATACTCAAATATTTGGATCGTGAGCAGTGCAGCAGAGTAAAGAAAGACGAGTCCAGTACGATTCGTCGAGTTCGTGGCTCGCAGCGGCTACAAAGCCGAGCCGCCCAAACTCGACGCGGACGGCAAGCCCGTGTGCTTCGTCGAGTCACGTCGATACATCTCGCGGCTAAAAAAGATCAGCGCCGATACGCGTCGAGATTCTGTTCGAAATCTACGACAATGGATTCGATGCGAATTACCTCGACCGTACGAGACCGGCCACAAGCATTTACACATCGTCGAGAAATTTCTCGAGCTCGGTCGGGTCGATGCCGATCGGCGGGGCGACACGACGGGCGACCCCCCCCCCCCCCCTGCACTTGGCCGCGCAGCACGAGCACAGGAGCAGGATTGAATCGCTGCTGAGACACGGCGCGGATCCGAACTCGACCGCGACGTCTCGGAGATGACTCCTCGTGCACATTATCTGCAAGAAGAGAGATCAGGACGGCGAGCTATTGCGACTGATCTTTGATATTTGCAATGAAAACCGTCCTCCGGTGGAGATCGACGCCCGAGACGAGAAGGGCAACACGGCGCTGCAACATGGCTCTGCCCCATACTTAATCGTCCAATTCACTTGACTAATACGATCGAACTGCTGCTGAGAAATGGCGCCGATCCGAACGTAGCCAACGAGAATCGATCGACTGCTTTTCATTTGGTTTGCAAGAGAGACCTTCGAGACGGCAGCTTCGGCGGAGATGTTTCTCGAGATGAGCCGCGAACGGGACGTGGAGGGCGACTCGCCGCTGCACGTGACTCTGAAATTCGAAAACCAAGAAGCTGGTCGAGCTGCCGCTGAGACGAGGTGCCGGTCCTAATTTGGCTAACGATGTATAGGAGAGACTCCTCCGCACGTTATCTGCGCGATAGAGGGGGACGAGGATGGTTTGGCGCGCCGTCTGCGACGAGATAGGTCACGCGGTGCACATCGATGCTCGGAGCTTGTCGGGCAACAACCCGTTGCACGTGGCTCTGGCCCAAGGACAGACGGAGCTCATCGAAGGCGCCGATTATTCACGCCTCTGCACCTCGTTTGCGAGAGAGATTAGGTCGGTGGAGATTAATTGGTTGGAGACGTTCTTCGGCATAAACGACGAGTTGGGGCGTGCGGTGTCGATCAACGCCGCGAACCGGATGGGCCAGACAGCGCTGCGCGTAGCCACGATTTCGGGCCACGTGATCCGGCCGCTGCTGCGAAGAGGCGCCCGATCCTCGATTAAACCGACGAGGAGGGAGAGACTCCGCTGCGCGTCGTCTGCCAGAACCGAAGCAGCGACTTGGCGACTGCGCTGCTCGACGACGAGGAGTATCGGCCCGTGCCGCTGGACGCCGGCTCGAAGTGGCTCGGCGAGACGCCGCTGCACAGCGCCCTGAGACACGACAATCGAGACGCGACGACGATGGATCTACTCCTCTGCCCATCGTTTGCCGGAGAAAAGACGACGATGGCTTGGCAGAGACATTCTTCAACATCGTCAACGAAAAAAATGAGTCGGACACCGCTTCAATGGGCCGTGGCGAATCTGCTGCCCAATACCGTCGACGCGCTGCTGACTCACGGCGCCGATCTGTCGAGCTTCTCGTTTCCCGCCTGGATCAGCTTTTTCTGCGGCGCCATGACCTGCTGCGGAACTGCTCGAGGCGCGAGGCTACGAACTGGATCGTGCCGACGCCCTCGTGGCTAGGTCATGCGATTCTTCAACGAGCACGAATTGTTCTTGCATCACGACGAAGGTTGGCACGACGACGAGTTCACGGTGGAAGCGAAAAAAATGACCATAAGGCCGGACCTGTCGCTCCACGACTTGGTCAAGTTGCCGGCCCGAGAGGCAGCGGGACGAGTCACGTGTCACGAGTTCTTCGAGTTTTTGCGCAAACCCGAACATGGGCTCGTCTTTGCGAAAGATCGAGCTGCTTTCGTGTTTTTCGGACATTTAGGTTAAATTTCATGGATCGCGACTCGCGAGCACAACGCTGGGCTCAGCGAAAATGGAGCTGAGGCTCTTGAGGCAGTAAGTCATTTTCGAGACTAGCAATCGACTCGATCTTTAGTTGCTTTCCTGTTATTCGAAAAGTTAGGTGATGTTTTATAGACCGTGACTCGCCAGCTCAGCGCTGGGCTCAGCGAAAATCGAGCTGTGGCTCTTGAGGCGGTAAGTCATTTTCGAGGTGAGCAGTCTACTTGACCCGAAAAAACTCGAGTACTCGAAAAAAACGCGAGTACCCGAAAAAACTTGAGTTCTCAAAAAATCGAGTACTCGGCTCGAACTCGTGGAAAAAACTCGAACTCGACGAATCGAGTTTTTTCGAGTACTCGCACAGCCCGATAAATTTTCATCAATTTTTTTTGGTTGAAAAAAATGGATTTTGAAATTTTTTTTTCGTACAAATATCATGAATGATAAAAGGATTATGAAAAAATTTATTTCATAATTTTAGGTCCAAAATGGCATTTTTTATTGGGGTGGCACGGTTACCAGCCATGTTCCAATTACCCGCTTCTCCCCTATATAAACCAAATTCAGTCATGTCAGTACTCCCCAGTACATCTATGATGATGTTATAAGGCTTTCTGCTGTATTAGAGTGAGTTTACTTTTTTCACAAAAATTACTTGCTGTGGTCAATTGGATCACATGCGGACTTGACTGGAATTTCAAACTCATAAGTAAAAATTGTAACATTGAAAATTATTATTGCCGAATTTTATTTTTTTTTACACTTGTTTACTTTTTCCATGTAATTTTAATGAGCTTGAATTGATAGGGTTTTCATGTCTCTAATTATAGGTAAACACAAATAATAAACTTTAATAAAAAGTAAATAAGTGTAGAAAAACGTATTACATGGCCGAAATCGTTAGAAATCTTACATTTTTTTACACTTTTTATTACAGTTTACAACATTATTATGCACTTTATTTTAAATAAAAATTTCCGCTGGGGAAAATAGTTATTGACAATATTGTATCGTTAATTACTTATCAAATATTTTTATAAAAAAATATGAAAAATTTCGCACTCACTCTTTGACTAGAACTAAGAATTTTTTGTTCTTTGCATTTTTTCAATTACAGTCTCTTTTTATTGAGATCGAAATCCCACAAGTGGATTTTACACTAATATTCGTCCGAAAAGCATCAAATCTTGATTAATTATGATATTTATTCGGAATAGTGCAACGAATAATTGTTTGTTAATTATTTTCGTTGTGACGCTAATGCTTTTGTTTGAGTGAGAAAGGAGAATATACACGTATGTGTGATAATTTCCATTATGGGCAACTCATCCGCTCGGCGCCACATTATAATACGACAAGTTAAAAGGCAGCACGTTTAAAGCCGCTTGTTTCACCAAGTACTTAGTCTGCTGATAGTGATCTACGAGCGAACGGATATTAATGTTGAATTAAATTTGATTCGGATTATTCGGGTCGACTCTGTATGGAATATGTCCCTTGCACTATGCACGAATAGTATAGTATTCAAGAATCGCATTTTTCTCGAACTGTATATAAAATATATTCAAATTCGATGCATCTGGGGCAGAGAATAAACTCCACGAGGAACGCACGGGCTAAAAGCCGCATGAAATTTCTCATGCAGCATAAAATTATGAATTACACAATGGCTAATGCGAAGCCGCGGCAAATGCATAAAAGCGTAACTATAATCCTTCTTTGCATTGGGTCAAACGATCCCCCGATCTAATGGGCTTCTCTCTCTCTCCTGTGTATACACACGCAAAAGTCGCGTGAAATCGAATATTTATACAGTGCGTATAGCAGTTCCAGCATAACTGCGACGTTAACTACTCCGAGTGCGTCCTATATATATATCGTACCGTATCCTCTACCTGCGCGGTCTCAAGGATCGCAGCTGCGGAGCGAATCTCGAGCTCTCCTCCTACTCCTCCTCCTACTCTTGCTACTGCTACTGTATGTCGTCGCGAGGCTAAAACACACGTATCTCTCCCATGGAAACCTTTTTTTTTCGACCCCCCCGAACCTTTTTGCGTCCGCAAGCTCGCAAGCTCCATGCATATAATGTATACGCGGGTGGCCGCGCTTGGCCTACATTCGCAGCTGCGGTGGTGGTTGCATGGAATAATTTTAATGAATGAATGTGTGTGTGTGTGTGTGTGTGATCCGCACGCCGTTACATAAGGCTAGCTCGCACGACGATGGTATTATATAGATCCGATCCAAAGCCCGCACGCTATGAATGAAATAGATGCGAGCTCTCTTTGCACACAATGCATAAAGCTCAGGTGAGGGGCAGAAAAGCTCTCCGTCTCTCTCTCTATCGCGGCGGTTGCGACCCAGACGCGCAGGACTCGTGTGTACGTGTGTACAAGGGTAAATTGAGTTTCGCACGCGATGTACGACGGACCGTATACATCATCACGCATGCGTGCAGTTCATTGTGGTGTGTCGCGCGCGCGTAGCACCCACACACACACACACACACACACACGCACACGGATGCACACACACGGACGACGTCCCTCCCGCCAGTATGTATGGACTAGATGGCCAGCACACAGGTACCGAGAGTAAGAGTCGAGTCGAGCTTGCGATTGCGATCGTATAGGTAGTACGTTACAGTCCCCGCAGGCGCGAGCACGCAGGTAGACCCGTCTCGCACCTCTATCCACTACACCTGTACCAACCGAAACGAGAGAGCTTTTTTCGGAAGAAACAGAGAGAGAGAGAGATCATAAAAGAAAAATAGCAAAAAAAAAAAATAAAGGACTCGTTATTGCTTGGACAAATACGAGGAAAGCATATCGACGTGCGCCAGGTGATCAGGCGGAAATAATACCAAAAAAAAAGCTCTCTCGACTGAATAAACGAGAGCAGCAGCAGCAGCAGCAGCAGCAGAAGCAGGAGAATCCGCATACATAAATCACGCAGGCGTAGTGGAGCTTGCGAAGTAGCACCTGCTGAAGGTAAAATTAGCCTGACAAAAAAAAAAACTGCACTGCACAATACACGTATACGCACTGAGAGAGAGAGAGAGAGCGAGAGAGGCCAGGAAATCATCGCCTCCTCCTCCTCGTCTACCTCTGATGTTTGTTGCCCAATTTTCCACCCAATTACGCACGAAATTGCACCTTTTAAGCACTAATTGTCAGCGCGATCTCGCCGTCGGTCAATCGCTGTTTTTTTTTTTTTTTCACGTACTCGTCGCAGGTGCAATCGATCATCGTGTCTATGTGCATGTGTGCGTGTGCATGTGTGGGGGGTACGCGTATCGCGCGCACCTACGTAGACCAGCAGCACACGATATACAGGTTGAAGTTATACCTACGCGTAGCTTTCGTGTGCTGCAGCACCTCCTACGTGTGATCTCGTGTGACGTCTTTGGCGAGGCGGCGACGGCGGCTAAGCTATACATACGCGACGGCCACCACCAGTGATTATGCACGCGAGCTTGCAGCGAGCTTTTGCTGCACCCGATCGCGTGGACTACGCAATTTCGCTCATTTATATATTTTATATACGATCGCACGTACTATATACCTCGCGCGAGCTTTTTCATTAAGCGCGAGATAGCGAAAAAAGAAAAGAAAGGAAAAACACGTACGCTTTCCACGTTATAACGGTAGATATATATTTATATTTATATAAGCGCGTGGATCGTGCTACGAATGCCGAGTAAGTAAGCGCCGAAGGAAAAGGAAAATTACTTTTCTCGCGCTTACGTAAAAGTAAAAAACAGGTAGAAATAAAAAAAATTAATTCCCCGCGCGAGGCTCGAGCTCTAAAAAAAAAAAAAAAAACAAACAAGTATTTTCCATTTACAGCGCGCATTGTAGGTCACATCGCTATACAGGAGGAGGAGGATTTCCCGCCAGCTGAACCCCGTATACACGCATAAATCGAAAGTATATTACACGCGCAACAGATCCCCCGTCGTCGCACATTAGCATGAAGCTGCAGGTCGCGCTGCTCGGCCTGGTCGCGTGCTGGATGAGCGGCGGTAGCGGCGTGGGCAAGGTTGCCGCTTGGGGCGGCCTCTTCAATCGCTTCAGCCCGGAGATGCTCTCGAACATGGGCTACGGCGGTGGCGCGGGTCACGGCAACGGCGGCTTCCTCGGCAGGCAGTCGGCCTTCGTACAGGTAAATTATGAACGATCGTTGAGAAACTTTTTTAAGTTAATCAATCATTTTAACGTTTTGATGAATTAATGCATTTTTGTTGTGTTGTCACGCAGCACGGCGGCTCGCTCAGCGACAACATGCTCGACGAGGGCATGGAGGAGCCCTGCTACGAGAGACATTGCCAGACCAACGAGGACTGCTGCCTCGAGTACGTCTGCATACATCCCGAAGGAGGTGAGTTCAATCAATTACATCTTAATCATTACGAGCTTATATACGACAATAATTTTTTTTTTTTTTTACACTCGCGTTTTCAGAGTGGCCCGACGGACGCTGCATGTTCGTCTACGGCCTGAAGCAGGGCGAGCTCTGCCGCAGGGACAACGACTGCGAGACCGGCCTCGTGTGCGCCGAGGTCGCTGGCAGCGACAGCTTCTCCTGCCAGCCGCCGGTCACCTCCAACAAGCAGTACAGTGAGTAGTACATGATAATAGCCTCCCGCAAGCTCGCGCCTCGAAAAAAGCTCGCTTACGTCGAATTTTTTTTCCACAGGCGAAAGCTGCACGATGTCGAGCGAGTGCGACATCAGCCGAGGCCTGTGCTGTCAGCTCCAGCGCCGACATCGCCAGACACCGAGAAAGGTGCGTATATATATATATATATAACAATGGTATATTATTATATTTCCGTGCTGCTATATCGATTTTATGTGTCACCAGTCGCGGAAAGCTACGATTTCAGCTCGCTCTTTCATTTTTCTATTTATTTTTCCCAATGCCTCTATTTTTTCTTCCACCTCCTCCTTTTTCATCGTCATCATCATCATTATTATTATTATTATTATGACTCTCTCGAGGCATCCAAGTTCTCGAACGAGCCGCGTTGCTCGTAATACGCTCGAATTCTCACGGGTGCAGCGTCAAAGGCTATATACGCGCCAGTCATTATATTATATACGTCGCCTTTGGAGCGCGTCGTCGGCCAACCTAACTATACAGTCTCGAATAAGTCAACTTTTTCCGATATCAGCAGCAACTCCCACGCGACGAGCAAATAATACAAACGCAACTGTCCGTCGTCCTTCGATATTATAATACCGATCCTAATTGGTCGCCACCGTGATACATGACAATTATTTTATTTCATATAGATGTGCTCGTACTTCAAAGATCCGCTGGTGTGCATCGGGCCCGTAGCCGCCGACCAGGTCAAGCAGATCGTCCAGTACACGTCCGGCGAGAAGCGGATCACCGGCAAGAACAATCGACTCTACAAGCGGGGCTACGATTAGACGCGATCGTCACCCGATGATGATGCCTGCAGCACCGTCCGTAATTCCGAGATGCGACAGCAGCGGCTGCAGTAATTAATCTTGCACACCTATCCCCACCTACCCCCTTTATTATTACCCTACGCATATTATAATATTATCGCTTCTTCGCGCGATCGGCTCCGAGACATTATTGAAATATAAACCTTTTTATCATTATATATCGACTTCGTGTAACGAAACTCGACGACAGATGCTATAAGGCGCATTTATGGCGAATATATTATTATCCATTGCATTCACACACCCCACCGCGTGCGGCAATCCTTATATTTTATTATACGCGATTGTGTAAATCGACGAACGAGACAAAAAAAAGTAATTACAGAAACATACGATTCAGTATAGAGATCCACGCATTTTTCGCTGTAAGTGCCCCTTACGGAATATATTTTGCTAGCTACTTTACCGAAGAATAATAATTATTTAGCCTCCTGACAGTAAAAAAGAAATAATGATGTAGAACGCGCACCCGTACGATTAATTATTTTTTTTCGCGCACAATTCCACACGCACTCGCTCGATCGCATTAATGACATTAATATTGATAGATAAAAAAGTATACGCAAGACGTAGTGTGGCTGTACCTTAGACATATATATAGCTTGATCGTTAATTGGCTGTAATAATTCGTTTTTACTCCACCCACCTCACGAGAAATAATAGAAGGTATATGATAGAAACGCAATCTTCCATAATTAACCCAGATCAATAGCTGTGTATTATAAACGTATAAAAGTCCATGTAATAAAAAGCATATTTTACTATATATAGCCCCCCCCCTACCCCCCCGAGAAAAGCCAAAAATGTAACAAACGCGTTTGAATATACAAAAGAAGATTATGAAGAAAAGGTACTAACAATTTTTGAACGTCAGTGTCTTATATTGAGCAAATATTTTGTTACTTTTAAAAAAAGTCACGTAATATGAATTATAACACATTATATCACGGGATGAGAGTGACTTTTCAATGGCTAAACTTTTGAATTATATTGAATATTATCGAGAAACGAGATGATGATTTGCCAGTGACCTCCAGTGATGAGTACACATCATTATTATATAGTGCGATACATGCAAAAAAAAACAACTATTATTATAGAGAAGAAAAACTAATGAAAGTATAATATTATACATATCAAATTGAAAAAGATAAATTTTAAATATCTATTTACACGGAAATGAAAATATTTTCTTTCTCGGTATGCACGATTGTACAATTAAAGAAAAAAAAAACAAATTACATATATTATAAACGATTAAAACATTTCGGAGTTTATTGTAATAATCATGTTGGGCCTGTGGCCGTAATGAGCACCCACCCCTTCCTTTTTTTCTATTAACTAAAATCTCAATTATCATGTAATATATTGAATTATAATAGAAATATAAGAATGACGCATATCAATGTTTATGATAAAACAAAAAAAGTTTATGAAAGTATATATTGATGAAAGTGATACTTACGGATATATTATTATTAATATTAAAAAAAAAAAACAAAGATTAACAAGGTTGTCCACGAGTAACTCGAAAGGTGCAGCTCGGATTGTACGAAAAAAAAAATCGACATATATAGCAGCCGTTCTGTTGATTATTTTTTAACATTTGTTATTCGTAATGAGAGATATAAGAGAGGGAGCGACAAAAAAATGTTGACCGTTTCTAAAAATGTGATTCGAGAACAAAAAATAAGATACCAAATGCAAAATTTTGTTTTGTCATTTGGTTCGATGTAACAAATATATGTAGCGATATAATGTTTGGAATGACACTTGATTAAGTTTGTTTTGCGCCAGGATAATTATAATACACATTTTTATGCTTCCGAATGATAGGTGACGATTTTGCGAATGGATTTGTGAATGTCAATTAAAAGTAATACTTTTTTTTTTCGTTTCTTGTATATTGTGTAATGAAATTGAAAATGATGAAATGCACAAATGAATAAGCTAACTGGAAGTAAGCATGTAATACAAATTATTACGCCTAGTTTTGATGTTTCAGGTAAAAAACTTTGACTGATTTCGAGTATGCTTTTTACGTGTTATTATATTTGTAAACTTGCTATATGAAAAGATTATGATCTTACTTCTCGAAATGCCTTGATAATTGTAGCGAAAAAGCATATATATTTGAAAGTGTCTCAAATCCATATGACTGAATAATACAACACATATCAAGATTTCATCACTACTAATCTTTAAGATACTTGTAAATTTTATTTATATGTAACTATGATATACTGTATTTCTTCATAAATATATATTAAAGTGATACCTCAATATACTAAAAAAACAAGTGGTAGTTTGTAAGGGTTTTTATTTAACAAACAGTCCTTAAGCCTGATTAAGTTTATAATTTTAATAGCTTATATTGCACTCGAACACTGCAATTTATCCATTACTTACAAACATCAATAAAAATGGAAAATATAGAGGACTTATGTACATTTTTCTTATCTACATATACATTTCAAAAACTAAATTCAACAGTTCATTGGAACATAGTTATATAAAATCTTGAATGACATAGCCATTATTAGTTAAAGCAGTTCACACTTGCTTGTTTGATACATACTTCATTTTTACAGCATGTTAGCTCTGTTCTTCATAAAGTTCAGAGTCTACTACAGTCTATGCTACGATTTTGACTGTTTCTTCAGATTTCTCCTTTCGACTACACTAGCCTTTTTGGCTTTTGCGTACTAAAATGTTTAAAAAAAAGATTTTATTTTATGTTCAATCATAGTAGAATAATTATAGAGTAATTAGAATTTATTACCTCTACAAGTTCACTTGATTTCATGTATCCCCATTTATTCAAGTATCTTATACACATAGTTGTGCCTCCTATTAAAAAATATTTCAATATGAATATGAATTTTTTCAAAAAAGAGAAATCTATAATTAATTAATTTACTTACCAACAGTAACCGTATATCTGACTGGTGTGAATACCTTGTATAAAGCATAAGTAACAGCCCAATGACCAGCACTGGACCCTCGTATCTTCTCTAAATATTCTTCACTCAATTTTAAGTATTCCAAAATGCCAACAATGTCGACTCCACTATAAATATAAATTTTATCAATATATTACTTGGACCTGGAATGTTAGCATTTTGTACTTGAATAAAACAATTACTTTTTAGCTGCAATATAAAAGATGGATGCCCATCCAATAGATGTTACAACATGTACAGGTATAAGAATATGCCAATAGTCTTTTCCTAATTGTTTCATTTTTTGAAATATTGATGGCTTTGCAGCAGCTGGAGGCTCATGACACACTTTCTCACATGTTGCATCCTTTGTTGAGCTCTCAGGCTTAGTTGATGTGCTATATTTAACTGCACTCAGTTCATATTTACATACATTCAGTTTTGGTAAATCTAGTAATCCTAGATTCTTCAAATTGCAATGAACATTTGATTGACAATGACGGTACCTATGGTAATCTGCAGCATAACATTTCATACATATAGATTGTGAATATAATTACCAAATCAATACTGTTATATCACCTCAATAAAGTGAGTATTTACCTGAAAATTGCATCTGCTCACTGGCAGAGCAAATTTGCACATGATGTATCGCTGGCAAGAATTTTGATGTCGACTGCTGGATTCTAGGCATTAATAGCTTGGCATATTTGGCTCCTGAGTTTATTATAAGCTCCATTTTTTAAACGAGCCGCCGAAATGTACTACTTGCAGTAATCTGCAGAGCAAGAGTAATAGATTTTATAACCAACAAGTGCAAAATGAGATTACAGTAGTGCAAATGATAGTTGTACCGTTTTATGACAAAGAAATGTAAGTCGAAAATAAAAAGTTTTGGTTGAGTTTGAATCGGCCGAGTCGAGCAGCACAAAATAACGGCTGTTTGTCTACATATTTAGTTAAACATATCCCACTTTCGCACTGCGTAGACGTGCAGAGATGTACAACTCAAGCAGTCGACGTCGTCGGTCTCAAAGTGTGCGAATACCTATGAATGAGGATCGTGCAATACTGCTTTGAAGCCTCTTCTAGAATTTAAAAAAACGCGTTGAGTGACGTGACGTGCAAAAAATCATTGTGAGACCGTCTTCAAAGTGTTAAAATACCAACGTTGTTTTCGAGCATGCTCGTGTTTTTGTTTGCAAACAGTGGCATATAATTTGAGAGTTGAAAAAATGAACAATGAGACGGAGTCGATCGAATGTCCGATATGCTCGATACAATGTTCCGCTGCAAGTATCGAGGCTCACGTGCAAAAATGTCTCTTTTTGAGCGAATCGAGCAGCGGTTCGAATCATTCAAAAAGTACGTTGACTGATCCCGGAAGAGAACCTGTTAAAAGTGCTTCGGCTGAGTTGAGAAAAACACCGAACAGGTTGAGGAACGAAACTCCTAGAAAAGAAGGAGTGAAAAGATCTTCGAGTAATTTGGACAGCGATAATTTTACGGTATTTGCAAAAAAACCTAGGCATGATACAGATCAAAATGATTCAACAAACAAAAATGATTCAAGCAATGTTCCCAAGTGTAGCAAGGTAATATTATAATCATTCAATTCAATTTTTTTTATTGAAAGTGTCATCTGTATGTTTGTTGCAGAAATTTTGCAATAAAAACAAAATTCCTCTTGCTGAAAAAATGCGTCCTTCCGATATGAACTCCTATGTTGGACAAAGTCATGTGGTAGGATCTGAGAGTATTTTTTTTCAGTTGCTCAAAAACTCAGAAATTCAAAACACCATCTTGTGGGGTCCACCAGGATGTGGCAAGGTACATTATTGTTTTTTCAAAAGTATTCATTTACTGAAATATTGATAAAAAATGTGTACTTGTAGACGTCTCTTGCAGCAGTTGTGGCAAACATGTGCAAAAATGTGTCAACCAAAAGTTATCGTTTCGTCAAAATTTCTGCAGCAGTTGCTAACATTAATGATGTAAAGAAAGAAATTTCAATAGCCATCAATGAACTTAAATTTAGGCGGCATACAATTATGTTTGTTGATGAAATTCATCGATTCAATAAAATACAACAAGATACTTTTCTGCCTCATATTGAAGCAGGAAATATTATCATCATTGGAGCCACTACTGAGAACCCTTCATTTAGCTTAAATAAAGCTATAATAAGTAGATGTAAAGTCATTCAATTAGAAAAACTCAGTGTTGATGATTTAATTCAAATTCTAACTAGAGCTGTAGAAAAATCAGGAGGAATAGTTATTGAATTTATACAAGAGGTAAAAATAATTCAAGAATACATTTTCTTTTCTTGAAAAGAATAATTTAACAGATTTGTTAAATATATTTTTAAAAATAATTTTTTTTGCAGATAGTTAGTGATTGTCATGATCATTTTTTGGTCGATAAAAGTACAATAAAATGGCTTGCGGAAACGTCAGACGGAGATGCGCGTATTGCGCTTAGCGGATTGGAATTAGCAATACAATCTAAAGTAGTATGCGACTGTATGTCTTTTCAAGAAGAACAACAAAGAATTTCACTAGATAACATCAAAGATAGTCTTAAAAAGTCTCATTGTTTGTATGACAAGAAAGGAGATGAACATTACAACATGATTTCTGCTCTTCACAAATCTGTCAGAGCTAGTAATGTTAATGCCTCTCTATATTGGTTGACAAGAATGTTAGTTGGAGGTGAAGATGTAGCGTACATAGGAAGAAGAATGATACGCATGGCTGCAGAAGATATTGGCTTAGCAGATCCAAAAGCTTTAGGTACCAAATTTTGTTAATAACTTGTTTTTTATAGAGAAACAATTATTTCAATATATATTTAATGTTTTGTTACAGGTCACATTATAGATTCTGTACAGTCATGCAAGGAACTGGGAAATACAGAATGCGGAGTAATTTTAGCTCAATGTGCTGTGTATCTGGCCAGAGCTCCAAAATCGCGTTTGATGGATAAAGCTTACAGGGCTGCTGAAAAAATCGTTATTATGCACAAGGATTCGCAATTCCCAGTTCCGCTGGAATTGAGATGTAGTCCAAAATCCCTCAAAAGTAATGAATCGGAGAGCGATGGTAAAAAACGATACTTACCCAAGGAAATTGAAGATTGCTTCGATTAATTGTACAAAAATATTACACTTAAAATTCAGTATTTTATTTGATAAAATAAGATATCGTTGAGCGATATATACATAAAAAATATAATTTTTACAACAAACGAAAACTACAGGTTCATTATTTTCATAACTCTTCACATTTTTTGCGCAAAAAATCATTCACCGTTACGTAAGTTTTTTGTTTCCACAAAATGTTAAATTAATTCGAGCAGATTCGTACGCGGAGCAAAAACCGCGATGCTGTGCGATGTATATTATAGATTAAAAAAAAAAACTTTAAAGCGTTGCCGGTGTATATAGTTAATGAACGATCGTGTAAAACGATCGCGAACGAGGTCAAGTGCTTTTAACCGAAAAAGGGCTTGAGCATCGATGTATTTACATAATATGTACATGATATATTTACAGGGTAATTATATAGACTTTTTACAAGATTTACAAAGTGGCCGCGCGCGACATGTAGCGCAGTCCACGCGTGTGTGATAAATAATAAAAAAACAGGCTCAGAAAAACCAGGGGTTTTTACTGCGCTTGGCAAATTGCCCGGTGACGCGATTGATCCACGGCTTGAAGTGGGTCATCTTCATGTAGACGCCGGGCAGATAAGGAGCGGCGCACTTGATGCCGTGGGACACGGTGCCGACGAGCATCCACCTGCCGTTGGGCTGCAGCATGCTCAAGGGACCCCCGCTGTCGCCCTGCGTACGTGAGAAAAAAGAAGAAATACGGAGATGAGAAAAATTCGGACATTGGAGAGAGAGAATTACTTGAGCATGTCAACTTTACCTCGCAGGCGTCTTTCTGGCCCGTAGCGAAGCCGGCGCACAGGAAGCTGTCGACGATCTTCTTCGTCTGGCCGGCCCTCGTCTGATTGAACATGAACTGGCAGACGGAGTTGTCGATTATCGGCACCTTGACCTTTTGCAAGACGTGAGCTATCTCTCCATCGGCTGACGAAACGAGAAACAAAGAAAAAAAAGTCACTATCGGTAAGTCAAAGAAAGCAGAGCTAATAGCCAAAAGACTGAACACCCACGATGCTCGACTCGGCCCCAGCCCGTTGCCCAGGCGTAATCGCCGTCGTAGTTCTTGTTGAGATCGTCGGGCAGGCAGATCGGTATGATGTGCTCGTCGAACTTGATGGGCTTGTCGAACTCGAGCACGGCCAGGTCGTTCTCGAAGGTGGCGCTCTCGTAGTCCGGATGGACGATGATGCGGCTGGCCTTGCGCGTCACGCTGCGCTTCGGCGGATTCCGGCTCTTCGTGTCCCACTCGCCGAACACGGCGTACAGCGAGTTGAACAGGCTGCGCGAAATTCACAACAAAAAAAAAAAAAAAAAAGAGGTATTGCATTATAGATTTGCGGTGCGTAAGCTTTCGAGAGCTTGCGGCGAGCTTACCTAGGCTGACAGTGGGCCGCGGTGAGGACGTGTCTGTCGGTGATGAGGACGCCGCCGCACTTGTTCTTGGGCGCGAAGCCCAGCCAGGAGGTCTCCTGGATCATCACCTGCCAGGGCCACTCGCCGAAGTAGGCGTTCTCGCCGCCGACGATTCGAGCGCGTCGCTTCTTCGTATTCTGAGCCAGTGGCCTTATTCCGCAAACTGTTTATTTATTTATTTTTTTTTTCGGTGAGAGAAAAAAGAAACAATGTATTCCGTTATCATAGTCAGCTGGTAAATCAAGCGAAATCACGCGTTTCACTTACTCGATCGGAAGTGGGCATTGGGCGTGATCTTGGGGAACGGCGTGGTCGTGCGCTTGGGCTTCGGGGTCGTCACCGCTGCAGCTTCGACCTGGACGCTGGTCGTGGGTCTCTTGGTAGTGGAGGCCTTCTTTTCGGTCGGTTTTTTCGTAGTGGACGTCGTAGTACTTGGTGCCGTTGTCGTCGTCGTTGAGGTCGAGGTCGTTGAACTTTCGCTCGCCGTCAGCACGGCTTCGGGCTTCTTATTCACGGAAGTTGCATCGGTGACATTTGGTTTCTCCGTGGTAGAAGTCGTCGTGGTGACGTTCTTCTTGTAGACGATGTCCTTCAAGTCCTGAAAATTCGGCTGCAAGGACTGGACTATCTTCTTGACGAGCATGTTGATCTTCAGCTCCAAATCTGGATCCTCGAAATCGGGCATCGGAATTTTATCGGCGATCGAGTCCGGACCGGAAGTCGTCGTCGTCGTTGTCGTCGTCGTTGGGCCGGAAGTTGTTGTTGTCGTTGTCGTTCTCGGCGTAGTCGTCGCATCGTCCGGCGAACTTTGCACCGTCGCCAGGGTAGCGGCAAAAGTAACCGGTGTCGAATTCACCGGCACGGTTTCGCCGCTCGGAGTAGAAGTCATCTCCGGTGACTCGGTCACCGCTGCAGTGTTCAACTCTGCTGCTGCCGTGATTGCTTGCTCGACGATTTCTTCGATCGTCGTCACCTTCATCGTTGTCGACGTCGTCGTCGTCGATGTCGCGTCGTCCTTCAAACTCCTTACGGTCGTCGTCGTCACGGGATCGGCAATAGTTTCGCCGCCGAGCGTTGGGTCGATCATCGGAGGCGTCTCGGTCACCGCCGCCTCGGTGGTCGAATCCATCGGCTTGACACTTTGTTCGATCGTCTTCGTACTCGTTGTTGTTGTCGTCGTTACATTTTCATTCGATTCCGTGGTATTGATTTCACCAACGGTAGCGTCGGTGACATTTAATTTTTCGAAAGCTACGCTATTTAATAGAAATTCCACCGCGCTCGAAATTACAGCTGTAGTAGAAGACGTTGTTGTTTGATCGACTGGAAAATATCACACGCGCACACACCCACAGAAAGTTTTATAATATAATACACCTAATTCGTATGCTCTGATTTATAAGTGTAATACACCGAGATTTCGATTCTCTCACCTGGGAAAGCGGACGAGCTGCTCGTCGTTGTCGTTGTCGTCTCGGGGCTGCTCGCGACGAAGTAGTTCTTGGGCAGCTGACAGCAGGCCCCGATCATGAATCCGTCCCGGCAGGTGTCGATTACCGACCCCCTCAGGCGCAGACAGTCCTGGTGAAACATGCATATGGTCGGCCGCTCGGGCTCCAGGTCCACGGCGTTCTCGTGCTTGCACGGCTTCAGGGACATCTTGTAGCCCTCGAATTTTCCCTGGCATCGCGGCGTTGCCGTGATCGCCAGGATCGCCAGGACGATCGTCGGCGCGATCGTCTTCGAATTCATCTGCGAAACGTTCGTTGTATTATATCGGTGAAAAGCTCGAGCGCGGTTATTCACTGGGCACGCATTTTCTTATAAACTAGTTTAGCGAATTGCACATTGTAAACAAGTCGCGGATGCGACTCCGTGTAATAATATCCACCCACTGCGCAGCACGGACCGTATCATTAATTGCCATAATACAAGTCGTTCGATGTTAATGATACAGCCGCGCGCGCGTATATATGGGATAGAGAGAAAATCGTCGTGATTAAGGTTTTCCGAGTCACCCGATTTTATTCTCTCTCTTTTTGTAATTAATACGTTGCATTCGATAAATTGCACTTACCTCGAACGGACTGGAATTACTGCAGAAACAATTCGAAACGACGATGCGGCTTCGGAAGCATGAGCGAATCAGGAGTCGAGAGACGATCGCTCGGAGCAGTACAGGTACAGAGACAGACGCACTCGCGCGCACAAAAATAAAAAAAAAAAAGAAAGAAAAGTAGAGAAAGATGAAAAAAAAAGGCGGAAAAAATCCGCTAAATCAGGGAGAAGCCAAGGAATACCGCGCCGCGAGCCGCGCGAGGCGTGCGAAGGATGACGACGAGCTTTCGAATGTGGGTCAGCTCGGAGAAGATACATACATGATACGCGAAAGACGCGCGCGAACTCGCACACAAAAACGGAATCTCGCGTGTGTCTGTGTGTATCGGAGAGAGAGAGAGAGAGTCGAAATAGAGCCCCGCGTCACTGTACAACACACGCGGAACGATCGGCCCCGAGAGAGAGAGATGCTCGCGAGCCACTTGTTGCCGCTTAACTGGTTAATACGAAAGTATATAAATGTGCTCCGCTCGCGTAAAGAGAGAGAGAGAGATGATTCCAAAAATGTGTTCTAGTATCTCCTCCTTCTATATAGTGTCGCCGTCGCCGGTGCCGCTGTGCATCCTCGTGCGCGACTATATTCCCCGTATAGGTACAACACGCGATACACCCAGTGGCGGTGGATCGGCATTCGGCGGCGGCTACGACGACGGCGGCGGCGGCGGCGTCGAGCTCCCCTTTCACTTGTAAAGGTGTACTTATTATATAGGTACATATACACGCGTGAAATACCGAGCGACCAGCCCCGCCGCGCGTATATACATATAGCAAATAAATATACAAAGTCACGTATTGGTATGATGCGCGATACACATGTGGTGGCTACAGAATGTCCGAATGGATGCCCCCTTGCTCCACCCACTTACGGTTCTCTAACTATATACATACAGGTATGTGTGTACCTGTACGCGTGTGTCCGTCCGTCCGTCCGCGAGGCATGTATGTATGTATATATAATATTATAAATATATACACGTATCGACGCGCAGCAGCAGCAGCAGCTCTCGCGGGAGAGTACAGCGCGTATATTACCACCGCGAGAAAGAGAGAGAGAGAGAGAGAGCACATACATCGCGCGCCGAACGGGATATAATGTGCGCTGCTGCCGATGCTGCTGCTGCTGATGCTCGGATATGACCTGCTACTTGTACGTATGTACCCGAGCGCGATGATGCCGATGATATTTCACTTCGCGCGCCGAAGCAGGATCGGCAAATATACATATAGCTCCGTGTTTCTTTCTTCCTCGTTTTTCGACCGTCTGTAATTCCTGCATACACGAAAATTTCGCGACTCGATGCGATATTTTTTTTTCGTCGTCGTTGTTGTCCTCCCACGTCGGGATATAAGTAGCTCGAACACGCGCGCGGCTAACAGAGATTTATCGGTCAGTTATACGTGTGTATACACGCATTGCCGCTGCGTGACTTACTTTTGCCCCCGCGCGCGACACGCAGTTATATACATTTCCTGCCGATTTCTGCGATCGTTTCGCACGTACAGGGTACTTTCAATGAATTTATACATTCGAACTCGCAATTTTTCATATGCAACAATACAAATTTTTTTATTTTTACTTTTTTTTCGTTACAAAAATGTTTTTAATTCTAATAAATTCGCATAATAATAACAATCGGCAACATAGAGAGTGTGTAGATTTAATATTAAAAGCTAATTAAAGTCATGCGTCAATTGCAAAATAAACTCCGCGCGATAATATATAAATCATATGTACAACGATAAACTAATTTTAATACAACAATAAACATCTGTCCATTAAACTGCTCTGTAATAGTGTAATAAACTATGATTTCAAGTAATAACGATTTTATAAAATAATAGTAATGATAAAAATTATAATAGACAATATTAAAAACAATATAGCCGTTAATACGCTTAACGTTTACAATTAATAATCGGTATATATACAATTTTCTTTCGTTTATCTAAAATTATCAAGTTTGTCGTTTGATAAAAAAGAAAGGAGTAACATAAACACCTCGTAATTCGAATTATATAATATTTACAAACAATATTTATCGTATTTTCGTGGTGTTAATGAATTTCGCGTCGTTTCAATTTGTAGCTACGTATTTAAATGCGTTACGATAGGAATACCGCAATTACGGCTATTCGATAAGTTGTCAGCGTCGAGTATGATTTTACGAAGGAATGAAAAATTGGTAAATCGATGCGTTTCAATTCTTTCTCTACGCGGACTGATTCGCGAATTGCTCTATTAAGTGTACGATCGTACGCTATCTTTTTTTCGTAAGATACGCGTGGGCTGCGTTTATAATAATTGTAAACTTTGTCACTCATGTGTGCAGGTACTAGTGGCAACGCTTCTACAATCTCGTGCGCGTGTAGTAACTTTTTTTTCTCCTCGTCCCTCTTCTTCCCTTGGACCGAAAATTTACTTCGAGAGCTCTAGGACGCGTTGGATTGTTTTAAGTTTTCGAATTAACAATCACAGCGAGAAGTAATGAACAAATAAAAATCAACAAAAGTATACGCGAACAATTCCATGTTGGATTTTCAAGCGAGCTACAGGGATCACAAGTTACATCGTTTTTTTTTTTCATCCTACTTTCTCTTCGTGTAAAAAAATAATAATAATAATAAATAAATAATCGTGTTTTCTGTCTGTACAGTTTTTACAAGTGTGGCACGTGTTGTTCGTTGCGGCGGGGTTTTTTTTTCGGGATCGACGACAACAAATTAATCCATTCATTGGTATACTCGTCTTCCACCTCCTCAGACCCCGGTGATGCTGTGCAGCCACGGCTTGAAGTAGGTCATCCTCATGTAGACGCCCGGCAGATAGGGCGCGGCGCACTTGATGCCGTGCGACACGGTGCCGACGAGGATCCACCTGCCGTCCGGGCCCTGCAGGCTCAGAGGACCTCCGCTGTCACCCTGGGGGGAGAAAAAACAATTTGATTACAATCGTGGCAGTTAAAGTAACGCGAGTTTTTTTTTTTGAAAAGTCCGAAACTTAAAAATTATTAGGATTTGAGGTAAATCTGTTGTGAATTTCACGTCCTAGTAGTTACATAGGTTACCGCTAGATGGCGTATGGCCAAATTCTCGATAACCAAAAGAAAAAAAGCCGGTTTTAACATACAAGTAAGGGAAATGTTCAAGCAAAGAGTCAAAGCAAGCTAATGTAAATCATCGTGTGCTCCATTCAATTAATACCCAAACTCTTTATGTAGCGTGATAAGTACTGTGATTATAATTGATCGATTTTCTGTACTTAAAACTTCGTATCGAGAAATGTATTTAAATTTTAAGACAAGCGCCTTGGAATGATTACGATAAACATGAAAATTATATCATTGTATTTGAAATGATATGCAAAGGCCTAAAAGTAATTCCCTTTGTATAAACTAAAATGCCGATACAGAGTAAATTGATTTTCACATTAATTCGTGAATCCATGCAATTACAATATTCGTTGACAAATACTAGAGATTCAAGATCTGTGGGTTCGTATTGTGCTTGAATTATCGAGCAAGAACGTGTCTACAGTGACAATTCGATCAATTACCTCGCAGGAGTCCTTCTGTCCGTTCGCGTAGCCGGCGCACATGAAGCTGTCGAGGATGAGCTTGGAGTGTCCCGCGGTCTGGAACATCTCTTGGCAGACCGAGTTCTCCATTATGGGCACTTTCACTTCCTGCAGCACCGACGGTACACCTCCACCTGCGAGACAATGAAATATTTCATTACCTCGGGCTATACATCAACGCGATGATTAAATCATGCGAAAGCGGCACTCGACAACTCACTGTACTTGAGCCGACCCCATCCCGTGACCGTGGCCATCCTGTTCGTGTAATCCGTGTCGTCGTCGGGCATGCAGATCGGCACGATGTGCACGTCGAACTGTATCGGTGTCTCGAGCTCCAGCAGGGCCAGGTCGTTCTCGAAGGTGGCCGGGTCGTAGGCGCGATTGACGATGACGCGGCGCACGTTGCGCGTCACGCTGCGCCGGGACTCGAGCTCGCCCGATATGTCGAACTCGCCGAAGACGGCCACCAGCGAGGCCAAAAATCTGTATTCACGCAACGAGAATCGATCGGTATACAACAATTTTACGATGATGTAATGATAAAAAAAAATACTTACCCAGGCTGACAGTGAGCGGCGGTGATGACGTACTTGTCGGTGATGAGGACGCCGCCGCACTTGTTCTTGGTGAAGAGGCCGAGCCAGGTGGCCTCGCGCACCAGCACCTGCCAGGGCCACTCGCCGAAGGTCGCCCCCTTGCCGCCCACTATCCGGCCGCTCTTCATCAGCGGCCTTATTCCGCAGACTGCAATAGTACGCGAATGTTATCGATCGAGATATAGTTAATTGATTGCCGATCGAAATTCAGACTCACCCGATCGAAAATCGGCATTGGGCGTGATCTCGGGAAAGAGCGTGGTGAGGTCCTGCGGCCTGGATATCGTCGTCGCCTCGAAATTGTAATCCTGCGACGGCGGCGGCAGGGTCGTCAGTTTCTTCAACGGTTTCGGCCGCTTCGTCGGTCCCGTCGACGACGTCGCTATCGTGGTCGGTCGTCTCGTCACTACCGTCGACGTCTGCTGCTGCGGTCTCGGCCTCGCCGTGGTGAGCTTTTGCGTGCCACTACCGGGCTTGGGCGTCGGCGTCGGCCTGCGATTGCCCTTGATCGTGGTCGGCCTCGTCGTCGCCGTGGGTCTCTTCGTCACGGTCGTTTGAGATGACGAGGACGAGGCTGGCCTCTTGGTCACTAAATTCCCGCCGGTCGTCACGTTTTTCGAATTGTACACGACGTCCTTGAGATTCTGGAAGTTACCTTGGAGCGACTCGACGATCTTGCTGACGAACACGTCGACCTTGTTGTTGAGCTCGGCGTCCTCGACGAATTCGGGCGCGACGAGGCCCGGCAGCTCGGCCGGCTCCACCGGCGTGGGCGGCTTGTCCTGATTGTGCGAGGCGCCGTCGAGCTCCGGATGGCGCACCGGCGGGAAATTGTTCACGTCGTCCACCGCAGGCGTCTCGTCCTCGCAGTTCGAGCTCGTCGTCGACGGATAAGCGTTGTACAGGCTCGGATCGCCGTCGGACGACGTTGGCGAGCCAGGCTCGTAATTGACGCTGCTCCAGGTCGTCGTGGGCCTCAGATGGAAGCTCGGCTTGTCCGACCACGAGGTCACGGTCGTGTAGATCGTCGGCCTCTTGGTGACGAACGAGGGGCTTACCGAGGGACTGCTGCTGCCGCTGGTGTAGTAGCTGCTCGATACCGAGGAGCTGTCGTCGAGGCCGTGGATCGTCGTCGTGGGCCTGGCCGTCGTGCCGTCCTTGATGCCGACGCTGATTACGCTCACCGAGAGGACTTGCTTGTTGCCCGAGATGACGGTGCTTATGTTGTGGGTCAGGCTGGCTAGATTCGGATTCTTCGTGATCAGGCTCGGCCTCTGGGTGCTCGAGGACACCTTGTTGTTGTTGTTGTTGTTGCTGCCGATGCGCGTGGGGGTACTCGAGCTCGGCACCGTCGTGTAGTCGGTGTTCAACGGGCCGAGTACGATGACCGTCGGCGCGGGTGGATTCGTCGTCGGTCTTCCCGTATATTTATGACTGCTGCTACCCTGTTGATAGGTGGTCGAGGACGACGGATAAGACGAGGAGGACGTCGAGTAAGACGAGGACGGATACGACGAGGACGTGGGGTAGGCGGACGTCGACGACGACGACGACGCAGCGGGCTTGTAATACGAGTAGCTAGCTTTGGAGGGCTCGGTGCTCGAGGCCGTGTTGTAGTGATAGTAATTCGAGGGCGTCGACGAGTAGTAGTTGTTCTGATAGTAGCCCGACTGGGTGGAGCTCAGACCGGCCGGTTTGGGCGTGATGTTGACCACCGAGGGCGGTGGCGAGACAGACGAGGCCATCAACGACGGCTGGCCGTAGTTGCTCGAGCTGACCCAGTGATAGGTCGTCGTCGGGCGCTGCGTCACTGGACAAACAAAAATCAATATTACCGATTTACCGATCGTACCGATATCGCGAGGAGTTTTTTGCGCGTCGTATAATGTATACTTACTCGAGGTGGTGTGCTTGGGATTGGTGTCGTTGAGCAGGAGAGAATTGATGATGTGATTGATGGCGATCTCCTCGTTGTCGAAGCCGGCCTGCTTGAGACTCTCGTCGATCTCGTCGGACTGCTCCGTGGGGCTGCTGCTGCTGCTCGTAAAGTCCTCGCCGTGGCGCGTCGTCAGGGTCGTGAAAGTCGCCGCCGGCTGGCTCGTGGGTGTGACGACCTTGGTAATCGATGCCGTCGTCGGTGGCCTCGGACTCGTCGGCTTGGCTTTGCTGCTACCGGGCATCGGACTGCTGCCCTTTTTACTCGGCGGACGATTCTTCGTGCTCGGCTTGTTGTCGCTGGCGAAACTCGTCGCGGGCTTGAGCTTCGTTATCAGAGTCGCCTTCTTCGTGGCCGGAGTCGACACGGTGACGACGGGACTCGTGACGGTGACCGTCTTGGGGGTGGTGGGCGAGTGTCGATATGCACCTTCCTCATCCTCGTCTTCGTCGTCTTCGCCGTTGTTATTATTGAACGAGCTGCTCGTCGACAAAGAAGACGAGGGGCCGAAGTTCAGGGTATCCGTCGACACGACGATGTTCTCCACTCCGGCCGGCTGGAACAGCTCGTCGGGATCGTAGCTGTTGAGCTTGTCGCCGATCAGGATCGTGTCGGCGTTACCGTTGTTACCACCACCACTACTACTAGAGTTGTTCTTCTGGAGCTTCTGCGAGAAGAGGGCCGGCAACTGGTCCACCGGGTCGACGATCTGTATGATCTGATTGTTGAGCGAGGTCGGTATCGGATCGAGCTGGCCTCCCTGATGATGATGCTGTTGCTGCTCCTCATAATTTTCATTGGGATCGGGATGAGTTATGAGGGTGGGCAGCTGCAGACTGTCGAGTATGTCGCCGTTGCCCAGCAGCGAGGAGAAGCTCTCGTCGAGATTGTCGAGGTCGACGTTGCTGTGCTTGGTATCGGTAGTGCTGGCCGTCGCGTAATTGTAATGCGTCTTGGTGGTCGACTGCTGCTGCTGCTGCTGGGGCTCTTTGGTCCGCAGCAGATAGCTCTTGGTCGTCTCGTAGGGCACCAGAGCCTCGATCGGCGTGCCATCCTCCTTCAACAAAATCGGCAGCTCCGGCACGTGATCGACCTCCTGTTGTTGCTGATACTGCTGCTGCTGCTGCTGCTGATGGACATTTTCGTGGTACTTTTGATCGTTGTCGGGTAATTGACAGCACGCGCCGAAGAGAAAGCCGTCCCTGCAGGAGTCGACGACGACGCCGCGTCGCCTCGTGCACTCGTCGTTGAACATGCAGATCGGCGGCTTTCCACCGGGCCTCACCGCTTGCAGAGCTGAGCTCGACGACGGCTTGCATGGCTTCGGCGTTATTCGATATCCGCCGAACGTTCCTGCGCACACACGTATGAATAATATCGTCACGTCGAAGTGAAATCAGATTTTCCGCATATTATTATATGTATAACGCAGCGGCTTCAAAAAGTGTTACACACCGCGCCGCAGTATGGTCCGCCGCAAAACTGCAAACGCGCATGCACTCGACCACCGATGTACATATATACGAGAAGGACTCTCGTGTAGTACCGCGGAAAAACGCAAATATTTTATTTTCGTAAATCGTCCATGCGTACTCTTTAGACATGCAGCGCATACATACACACGGAGAGAAGTCTTTAACGGAATTTTATTGTTCTCATGCTTATTTGAACTTTCTAACCGCGCGCGCGGTTATATTGTATGTTACTAGGTTAAAGACGGAAACGAGGCTTAAGCGCGCAAAAGTTTTAAAAGGCTAGCGCCGAGCGAAAAGTGTCAAAATATCTCATATTTATACGCGATTAAGAATTAAGCCGGTAAACACGTATTTTCCAACCTCGAGAGCTGAAATACAAGTACGTGCGCGCGGACGGACTTTTAAACGCGCGGTATAATGAGCATATATACGTACACGGCTGACCTTTTTAATTGCATTGTACGCGAGTACGACAGGGAAAACACGGAGAGAGAGAGAGAGAGAGAGAGGAGAGATGTTATCGTCGCCGAGTGAGAGTTTTCATTAATCATTATTATAAATATCGTGTTTTTACCTGGCTTGTTGGCCTGTAAGGTCGCGGCCGAGATCGATTCCAGCACGACGGCCAGCAGTAGTAGAACGACCACCACAGGCAGCGCAGTCACTCGGCGCATCGTCATCTGGAAAAAAAAAAGAACAGAACATTTCTTCGTTCAAATCGATTTATAATACGGCATACATGGCTGCTCGACTTATGCAAATTTTTCATATTACTATAATACTATAATACAACGAGCGGGGCCAATTCGCCGGAGCGAATTGCGATATACGATGCTCGTGCGCTCGCCGAGTGCAAAGAGGGAAGGAGTTATACACAGCGAGAGAGAGAGAGAGAGAGAGGTGAAATCAACGAGACGAAAGAATCATGTCAGTATATCGCGCGGTTAACTGATCGCGAGTCGTTGCCGTCGTCGCTGCCGATGTTCTTTCTCTCTGTATACAGCAGGAGAAATGACACGGTAATGTGCCATAATCAGGTGGGCCCGAGCGCGCGTATTAACCGGTGTAGCAGTCGGGAATAATCACCGAATCATGCGGCATTTTTTTATCATTCGAAACAAGTCGGTAGCGATATAATCCATGTTATTATACACGATCGTTTCTCGAACAATTAACGCTACGCACAAAGTGGCCATTGCCGCAGCCGAGTGGCGCGAATTTTACGCTATATAGCTTACTCATCTGCGAAAGTTTTTAGTGTACGTATGTATACAACAAACCGAAAAATCGCCGTCACCTACTTTTTCCCTTCTCCGGCGTCCAAAAAAAAAAAAAGAAAAAAAAGGAAGAAGAAAAAAAATCCAACAACGGGCCAAACAGACGTACGCATTATTATGTGGCCATGGCTTATCTAAATAGGCGTCCTACAAAACGTATACACGTATTATATTTACGTGAGCCGGCCGGCCGTTTTGCGCTTAGAGAATATAACGTATAAAGGCTATTCATTAAATATATGAATCCTACGCGAGGTATTACATACGCGCGAAAGCTTATATAGAATTTAAAAACGTTAACGAACGTACGTAGCTGCTCTAACGGCTAATAAACTCAAGCGCGCGCAAAGAGTTTCACATTTTTTGACGAAAAAAAAAAAAAAAGAAAGAAGAGGAACACACACGAGAAGTCGGTGAAGCGCCGAAATAAAAACCGGTAAATCACGCTCTGACACATTTTCGTGCGTCGCGTACGTTATGAACGTCGTGGTACCCGTAAATGTGCATATACACGACGCAGTGGTCGTTGTTTGCCCTCCGGCAATTTAGAGAGGGATAATAAAGTAATTCGTTTGCGCGCACAGATCGATCGTATATACGATACGCGTGGTACAGATCGGCGGTAAAGTGCGCAATTTAATGGCCCACATGCGCGAGCCGATTTCGTGCCGATTTTCCCGTGTTCGCGTGCACTTATTCGGTCGATATATATACGTACGCTACACGCGTGCTATATATTTATACCCACATGATCGCGCCGGACTCTCTGCAAACTATATGTCATCTTCGAGACTCGGCGATCCGAGAGAGAGAGAGAGAGAGAGGAGAAATCCACGCGCTTGGTAACGGTTAACCCAAACCGATTTATAAATTGTCCGAATGATTTGCCTAGGCGGCTATGTGTGTGTATAGCTGTTTATTACGCTTATTGATTTTGCGCGCGCGCGTGAACTCGATTATTATAAATACTCTCTCGACTGCGATTCATCGCCGTGTCGATTTTACGATATTCGAATCGAGGAAAAGTCGCAGTTATAGATGTACATATACATTTCTCTCCGGATGCATCGTGGCAAAAGCTCCGCATTCCGGCGTAATAACATCTTGAAAACGCAACTAGGCAGTGAGAGAGAGAGACCCGCAGGCGCAGATCGTATACATTAGCGCGCGAGATGCGCCGCGACCGGAGTAAGGGAAAAAAATTCGTACTACTGTGCCACACGCGCTCGAAACGGAGTGCACTATACGCGGAGATTATGTACCAAGTTGCAATACTGCACACCTCGATGTATATATATATACATAATGCGAAGCTGCTAAACGCGCGAATATACATATAGACGATTATGCGGACTCGTTAACAGCTCTCTTAGAGTGAGAAGACGACGAAGGAAAAAAAGGAAGAAGACGAATGAAGAAGAATAAATAAAAGGCCCCTACGGCGGCGCCCGCGAACCGTTAGGCTTCGTCCGTGAAAAACTTGAATGAACATTAACTGCTTTGGTATACGCGTGCGTGAATATATGCAGAGCAAATAGCCACGCGCGAATACGCACTTATGTACGTACTGTTCATAAAGCCGCAAGCCGATCGACAGTGTGCGCGTTTCGCGAAATTTTAGAGTCGCCACCGCTGCGTTACCAAGTACGATAATCGATGATACATGTATATCAGAGGGGAGGGGGGGGACCTCCGCGCGCTCATTGTCTCGTAACGGTGGCAGCTGGCGGTGGTGCTGTGTGTACAGTTGCGACGAAATAGGATCGCGCTTACCGATCTCATATACGATACGCGAGCTTTTGGTATATAATATGTTAACGCACACGTGTGCACCGGATCCGAATACCGATCATCCTACATAGTCTAGCTTTCGCACCTACACACACACACACGTGTATGAGAGAGAGAAATCGATTTAAAATTCGTCCTGCGCGCCTCTACGATTGCGATATATAAATATATATACAGGTACACACAGGCGATCGGCCTGCATAATAAATACGTATTATCGAGCGGTGCATCGAAACGTGTATACGTCGAAAAGTTCGCAGTCCGAGGCACTCGCGCATATAGATCGGCCTGCCTACCTCGTGCCGCGCGTTACGGTACATGTGTGCCGTGTCTCAAGTATATACGTACACATACACACAGGTAGCGATCCTTGCTATATATATTCGAGAAAACTCGTCGGAGCATTATATATATATATGTGTGTGCCGATCTTGAACTCTTTTTCCTTCGGCGCGGCTTATTGGCCTTGCCTCCAACATCATCTCGCGCATTTGAAGTAAATATCTCTCTCGCGATACATAGCCGCACCAATTGCTCCGGTCGATTTAATGCGCGCACACGCGTAAAACTCTGGCGAGATAGGAAGAGAGAGAGAGAGAGAGAGAGAGAAAAATGCACGTACACACATACACGCGTTGGGGCATGCTGCACTTCAGCGTGTCCATGTGGCCTACTACGTTATGCGTGCTTTCTCCGCGTAAAATATCCGCTGCGCTGTGCAGCTCGCAGCTCGTAGCTCGACTCTCTTCGCGCTTCGCAGCTAAAAAGATTCGCGCGCCGATTTCCGATTTACGTCTGTATACTTTTTATTTCTATATATATATATATATATCTATATGGTTGCGCGCGTGAGCGTCACGCAGCCGCGCTTCCGGTTGAACTTGAGAGAAGAAGCAAAAAAAAAAAAAAAAAAGAAAAAATACACAACATCCAGCGCGCCGCATTCCGAGGCTCTTTACTGGGTCAGAGGTAGTGAGAGCCCTTCTTCTTCTTCTTATTTTTCTTTTTATGGTGTCTTATATGCGCTGCGGCACTTACCTTGGCTTTGCCGATTTTCACTGCTGCTGTATACGACGACGTGACTTCCACGTTGGGCCTTTGTAATAAAAATTCGACGACGACGACGGCGATGTATATAGGAAGAATATCTAACTGTATAAACAGCGAGGATGAGAAGACATAACTGCTTACTTCCGCGCCTGGATCGCTCTCTCGACTCTTTCGGCCTGATGTCTGTGTGTCGGAGGAAACAAGCTCGATCGATCTCTCTATCGTCGCGATCGTGATCGTCGCTGCTCTCAATAAAATCCTCGATAAATTCTGCTTTTAATCTTGCTCGAAACACCGCGCACTCTCGACATAATTAATACCGATCACGTGTGTGTGTGTGTGTGTGTGTGTGTGTGTGTGTGTGTGTTTTGTCGAAATTTCGGGAAAAACTTCGCGCACTCTAAACTATTTATACGAGAGCCTCTCGAGCTCCGATGCGGCAAAGATCGGCACGCGCGCACACACATGCGAGCAGTGCTACTGCTACTGCTGCTGCTGCTGCTCTCGATCCGATCCGATCGGCTGTCAAACTTGCCGCGCACTGTCAAACTTGCTCGTCGCTCCAAGCGCGTCGACCTACCGCCAAAAAACTTGAGAGAGAAAGAGAGAGGAAGGACGAGCGAGATAGAGATAGAGGAAGAGGAAAAGAGGAAGAGAGAGAGAGAGAGAGAGAGGAAAAGAGAGAGAGAGAGAGAGGCTGACTGGGATATATGAATATACACACTCTGCAGCCAGGGAGAGTCGCGCGTGGCAAAAGTTCTATAATATAGCGCTCTATCGTCCAGCAGCGCACTCGCACACGTCTTTCCAGGTAAAGAAGTGCGCGCCGAGTGGTAATTGGTTTCCGGTTTCTTCGACTGCGGCTCGGACGACGGAGCGACGAAGCGACGACGAACGACGACGACGACGTGCACAGCCACTTCTTCTTCTTCTTCTTTCTCGCACACTCTTTCGGTCGGCCCGCGTCGTCATCTACTGTGCACGGAGCTGCCTGCGTATGCGTGCTGGATGCGGCGGCAGCTCCTCTCTCTCGCTGCTATACCTCCTTTCTCTCCCTTCCCTCTTTCTCCTACTACTCTCTCCTGCTTGCTGTTGCTTTGCCCGCGAAACGTACCACGATGCCTATATAGGCTCGCGCGAATCTAATCCTTCCTTTTTCCTTCGAGCTCGAGCTATAGATCGGTGCAATTTTAATCTACATAGAGAGAGAGAGAGAGACTAGATATTATGCTGCTGCTGCTGCGTTTATAAACTCTCTCGTCGAGTCGATAATTTAGTCCGAAGAGCGATCGCCTCGAGTCAGCCTATATTTGCGCGTATATAAGCGAGAGAGAGAGATAAGGGAACGTGACGTGCCGATCTCCTAAGCAAAAGTATAATCCTATGTACGTTTTATAGGCACGGCAAGAGAGAGAGAGAGAGAGTTCCGTATCTGATTAGACCGAATCAACCTGTCGCAGCGCAGGACGACGACGATCAGAGATGCAACGTCGAGATTTTCGAGAGAGATCTGCGCAGCTAGTAGTAGTACTATAGTAAAAAGACTCTCGAAGCTAGAGAGAGAGAGAGAGATTAAAGGATGAAAACGTGATTTTATAGTAAAAGAGAAATGCTCCATTCAAGCGAAACGGCTACGGCGGCGGCGGCGTCGAGGGGCAGTTTATAGATATATATCGCTGCGCGCGCTAGTGAAAAGTGAGTGCATTCCAATTTCGCACGGATATCCTTGCGGCTCTATACACATAAAGAGTACGAGAAGATCGAGAGGAGCCACGGGGCTGTAAGGAGATCATTGGCTAGCTCTCGCCTCGAGGAAATGCTGCCTGCCTGCCTGCCTGCCTATATATTTATGCTCCGTCGAATAGGCGCCCACTTTACGCCACTTTCCGCCTTTTCCGACTCTCGAGACTCTTTGTATATATACGATACGATGTGTATGTGTATATAAATTGGCCCCGCTCGCTAAACCGACGACGATGATCGCTTTTCGCGCACACACACGGCTTTTAAGCGCACGCATATACGCGCGCGTGTATACTTACACACGATGACGATGATGATGATGATGATCTGCAATTACGCTTTATGGCGCTGCCGCTGCCGCTGCAAAAAGGTCAAAAAGTCGGTACGCAACATACATACGTTGCAAAATGCGCATAAGGTGGTCTTTGTGGTGGAGGAAGAGGTATAGGTAGGTGAAAATATGAATCGTGCCTCGAGGCACACGCGCGGAAGGAAGCAATACCACGTACATTTGCGCGTCACCACCGCTGGGCTCGAGGCGTATACATACAGTACACAGGTAGTAGTAGTAGTAGTAGTAGCAAGTATACAGCAAGTACGTACGTACGTACGTATACGAGCGAGAAAAAGAAGCAGCGGCGGCGGCAGCAGAGGAGAAAGCAAAGTGGGCCAGAGCTCTCCTCTCTCTCGCGCGCGCGCGCGCGCGGCCAGGTCACGATCGCCGTGAGGCGGAAGGAGGTCCCTCGCTCGGCTCACGACAGCGACACACTGTCCTACACTCGGTACCGCCGCCGTCGTCGTCTTCTTACTACTACGACTCTGCTCGTACACTCTCGACTGGCTATATAGGATAAAGGCACGCACGCGAGCTCGAGCAAGCGGCTACTTGTAGCTCCGCAGCAGCAGCTGTGTATGTATCGTATGTACGTGCAGCAGCATCGGAGTGCAGCTATATATATATATATATATATCGCTAAACTTCATACTTGGAAGCACACGTAGTGGCAGCAATACGTATATCGCGTGTTGCAGAGAGTCCCAACTTTGTACTTTATAATGTGTGTATGCGTTGGCTTTAGAGTAGTATCCTTTCTCTCGGGCGCGCGATGATCCACCTCGGGGCAAGCTATATTACACGTATATTTTATAAATCCATGCGAGCTCGCCTCGAGTCCCCAAGCGCGGCGGCCTTTTAGTACTTTATACTACTATTACTACTAAGAGAGAGATTGTGCTCTTGACACACATGTCGCCGAAAATTAAGTTTACAAGTGCGGCGCGTGCGAGAGAGAGAGCCGATTTTTTCGCAGCTTTTATCCTTTTTTTCGTATTTCCCCGTGTAGCTGTGCGATATAATGTAGCAGCCACTACTGGTGGTATATACTTATATTCCATGTATAATACGATAATAGTCGCGAGCCGATCGCTGCACCTCGTATATATACGAGGGGATCTATTATTTGTATCCCATACTTAAACATATTTGTGTGTGTGTATACGATGATCGGCTTTGGCTCTTTCTACCGCTCGGCTACCGCTGCCGCTGCGGGGAGAAAAAAATCTTTACCTACCTTTCACCGTTTTGACAAGAGAAACAATTTCAGGCACGAATGGCATTCTCTCTCTCTCTCTTTTAGCATGATTCTCCTCTCTCGAATTGCTGCTGCTCTTCAACTGCACATAATGCACACGGTGTACTGCTGCGTGTCCCATTAGTTTATACCTTGCAATTGTGTGCGCACTTGACTCTGAATCGTGTCGCGCGAGAGAAATTAATATCCCGATCGTTTTCGTGTCTCTGTTCTCTTTCTCATCGGAGCAGCGAGGGGTCTTTATTACAATGGCGATTATTATTGAGACACTCGTGTGCCGATATCAACGAGGCCATTATACAGCACATTGTATTGATATATAGATACTTGATTTTATTAATACAGCTCTGTACACATAATATAATATATATAGCTAAGCTTAAACAGGTACACACGCATTAACATAATACTAAAATGCTAATAATACTGCTATACTATACAACAACGGCAACTAAAAAACGTCGAAGATCATAATACAGCGCTTATTTGGACTATTTACATATTTACAAAAGCCACACGGCGATCGGTTCGCTTCATACCGATCTCGCAGTTGGCTCGCGTGTACGGCACAAACGTGTACACGCCGCAAACATCGCTGCGGCCGCGCAGTGAAAGCACATCGCGTACCGATTTATTATATATTACAAACAATAGCCGCGGCTGCTGCGAGCATCGATTTCAGCCGATCGGCCGTACGTATACGAAATGGAAAAAATACACGGCTTTCTCCTAGAACATCATCTGTCGGATCCAGTCGCGGAACGCGGAGACGCGCGTGTAGACGCCCGGCTGATTGGGCTCGGCGCAGCCGATGCCCCAGCTGATGATGCCCGCGAGCACCCAGCGGCCGTCGCGCGGACGCTGCACCACCAGCGGACCTCCGCTGTCGCCCTGTTGCAAAAAAAAAAGACAAAGTAAATAAATGAATAAAAGATAAGCTGAAAATTTAGGGGAGAAAATCGGTAATAAGACTCTATGTACCTCGCAGGAATCGACTCCACCCTCGCCGCCGGCGCAGATGAAGATGCCGGGCACGGACTCGTCGTAGCCGGCGCTCTTGTACATGGCCTCGCAGCGACGATTGCTCATCACCTTGAGGGCGGCTTCCTGCATCACGAACGGCAGCGGCCCATCTGCGAATCGCACGCACAAAATCATTAATATCATTATTATCGACGTTATATTATATTATCGCTTACATTCGTCGATGAGTCGTCCCCAGCCGGTCGACCACGCGGTCCTGCCCACGTAATCGTCGTCGTCGTCGGGCAGACAGATCGGCACTACATTCGGCCTGAACTCGTCCACGGGCTGCCAAAATCTCATCAGCGCCACGTCGTTCTCGAAGGTGCTGCGCTTGAATCCCTCGTGCTCGATCACCATGCTGATGGCGCGCTCCTCATACGGCAGCGGCTCGTCCTGCCTCTCGAAATCGAACTCGCCGATACGGACGAGCAGCAGATCCGGCGCGATGTTGTAGGTGCAGTGGGCCGCGGTGATGGCCCAGTTCTCGTTGAGCAGGGAGGCGCCGCACTTGTGCTTGTAGGTCTGCTCGCGCTTCACCCAGACACGCAGCGAGACCTGCCAAGGCCACTTGCCGAAGGTGGCCTCCTCGCCGCCGATGATTCGAGCTGTCGGCTGCTGAGGATACAGTCGTCGACCGCAAACTGCAATAAGACGATTTATGGTTTTTATCGGGTACTTTATTTAACTCGATAACGATATCGTGTCGATTTACCATCTTTGTAATCGCTCATATTTATCGACGGTAGTTCCGCATCCGATGGATTCAGCCACGACGTTTCCGTTGTTGTGGTTGTTGTAGTGGTAGTAAATCCAGCTAATCCCGGCGTGCTTTCACTCGTCGAAACGGTGCTACCGCTGACTGGCATTTCTGGACTTTTTTCACTCGTCGTCGTCGTCGTCGTCGTCGAAAGCGTCACGAATGCATTTTCAGAAGTGCTCGAAATCTTATCGGTCGTAATTTCAGGATTAATATTCGTCGCGAACGCGTCGTCCGAATTCACGGTAGTTTCACCGATCGTCGTCGACGCCACTACTGACTCAGTTGTTGTCGTCGTTGAGATTGCTCCACTTTCGATTTCGTTTCCTCCTCCTTCAAAAAAAAAAAAAATGAAGAGCGTGTTAATATTTTCAAATGCTCTAGATATTACGTAGGTGATTTTCGAAACTCTTCTCTGCTTCCGCTCGATAGAATACAAAACAAAAATCATATATAATATAATAATCCTACCTGACGTTGGGGCAATAATCGTCGTGTAATCTTCAATCTCGGCGCTGCCGATAGTCGTCGTCGTCTCCGTTTCTAAGCCGTCGTCGTCGCCCGTGAATGTAGGACTCGTTGTAGCTGCCGGAGTTTCACCGGACTTTTCGGAATCCGTAATTCGGTTAATTCCGCCGTTGTCATCGTGAGTGTCGGCGTCGTGAGTCGGCGGCTTGTTGTACTTCTTCTTGTCGCCCGTAATCGGGTCCACTCTGTCGACGTTGCCGGAGATGTCGTTGCTCTCGAAGATGCTGCTGCCTTCCGTCGTCGTCGTCGTCGTCGTTTTGTCGTCGATTTTGCAGCAACTGCCGATGAAGAAGTAATCGAGACACATGCCGAGATGGGTGCCGTTATTTCTGGCGCAATCGGTGGCGAACATGCAGGCGCCGATCTCGCCGGTGCTTCGTGACGCGCACGGCAAGTGCCTCATGCTCAGCAGCTCTGCAAAAGGAGGATCGATTATTTCGTCGTAGTTATATCGTGTTGTGCGGAGAAAAAAGACAAAATGATAATCGACGAAGAAATGAAAAGTAAACGAGAAAAAGAGACTCACTCGTCGTCTGCGGCGGATAATCGCTTATCGGGCCCGCGGAAGCCGGCAGCAGTAAATTGTACAAGATCATGCCGATCCAAACGATTCGCTGCCGATTAGGTCCCATCTGTAAAAAGGATTTTTTCCGTCAAACGAAAATGTTCTGTGACCTACATTTTTGCTCGAATCAAAGGAGGAAAAAAATTCGTATTTATTTTGCGTGTTATACATACAAGAGCCCGCTACTTCTTCGAGCAAATTAATATATAATATAAATTTCTCGGAAGCAAGAGGCAATGACTCTCGATCATTTTAAAGGCACATAACGCGAGCAAAAAAAAAAAAAAAAATAACACGCGTACTTTGCGAGCGCGTGAAATTCGTAAGGTCTGAATTTTTAGCAAAACCCGTTACTCGCTGAACGACGCGCGAGCGTAAACTCTTTCGCATACAAAAACATAGCTGTCCGTGAGTAACGGACAATATGCTACAAAGTTCGCCGTATTAAAGAAAAAAAGAAAAAAAAAAGTTACGAATACACAAGGTGAATGTCAAGGTCAAGAATTTTGATACGAGTTTTTTTTTTGCGCGCGCGCGCGACCTCGACCGCCCGCGGAGTTCCCCAATGGAGCCAAACGTGACTATCGAGTTAATGGCGATCGCACGATCGGCGCGCGGATTTATAAAAAAAATCCCTAATTCAAGGGAATCACGCGCGGAAGTAGGGTAAAAATGAAAGTTTTCAAATCCATTATCTGGAGATTTCTACTAACTATCGGTGTCCGCGCGCGGGCACAGATTCTATCTCTCTCGACCGTAGTATACAGCTTTTTTTTCTTCCTTCTGGCTCTTATGGGTCGTCATGGTATATACGATATCAATCGAAAAAATACGTATAGTCGAGATCTCGGATAATGACTCGAGGGGAAAATTTTCACTCTTACACTTGCTCCGGCTCGCGGTATCTCCGCGTCGTATAATTCGGTAGTAGTACCAAGAAATGGTTTGATTTTTTTTTTATTTACAAAATGATTACCAATTCACGCGGTAATAACTATCATACTAATAATAATTGCTGTATGAGTTGTAAAAGAAAAAAAGGAACGTAATCAAAATTCCATTTGACCTAATTAGCCATTTCTCTCGGAGGCGATAATCGATCGTTAAGAAGAAAAAGAAATCGAAGGAATTACATAATTAGCAAGTAAGACGTTTGATTTCTAATTGTGTTAGTCAAGTGTCGTAATTACACATAGGTAATGAGCATAAGAAGATGCGAGCTTGAAAATATTGTCCAAAAATTTTTTTATTCAAAGATTGTCATTCGTACTAAAATCATAATACACATGTGTTTATGGTTTTTTATTACATTGAAAACAATCAATTTTTCGCCTATACAGATAAATTTACGTTTTCAACGGAGGAGCTTTTTTAAATAAAAAAATTGCAAGGGTAATTTTTTTGCATACACTATCTCGTAGATAAAAACAACGAGTACGCGGGAAACGTCGAGTAAAATCAGAAAATATAAAAAAAAAAAGTTGAGAAAAAAACCTTGTAGACTAGCTGGAACGCTTCAAATTTTCACACACACACACACACACCTCTCGTTATTCTTGACATAAAAAATTCGAACGAGGAACGATTCAGGTGGACCCGAATGGAAAGCCAACACTAACGAACTTCACTTTCATGCTGAACCGCACGAGGAATTTCGCGCTTTTCTTTTTCGACGATCGAACGTACGTAAACACACGCGCGGATAGAGTCGGTGGCTCGGTATTCTATATGTGTGTGGTGCCTTGAACCTCACCTCCAACCCATAGGAGCAATACTGACCGATAGTCCGAGACTCGATCTTCGACGTTTCCAAAAGTCTTTTTTTTCTGTCTCTGGTCTTCCTCTTTTTAACAGTACATGTTGTACACACACACACACGGCTTTGGTATGTGTGAGTATAGGTCCATGTGTGGCCGCCTTTCACTCTCTCGCAAATGGTACACACACAGACACAGACACAGACACACGACTTTTCAATAATATCTTAATAAATGTGTGCTTGGTATTACACACGCCCACTAACGGGTTCTCGTTAGCGCGATCGGCGCACACGGAGAGCTTTATAATTTATGCGCCGACGATCCTCGCGCTCGCCCATATGCATTTCTTCCGTGTATAGACGGGGAGATCTTTGGCTTTAGATAAAACGTATAGGATAGTGTGACGCCTCTATCATCTGGTCTCGTGGACCGTGTCTCGTCTTTATTTTCTCCGTGTCGACGAGGCGATCGATTAATTATGTTACTCGTCGTTGTGCGACGTGCTTGGTAAGTATACGATAGAGCGTGATAATAATCAAAGGCGTTGGATGTGTTTTTTTTTTTTTTTTTGAAATTTTGTTTTTTTTTTTATTTTCGCACCTATGATTAACGGATTTATCTTACAATCGAGATATATTATTCCATATTATTTCATGTAATAATACAATAAATTAATCGTTCGGACGCGTGTCAGCCTTATATGTTTTGTTGCATTCGTTGAGAAACAAATTTTTTCTTATTTTATACAATTAAAAAATCGTTGAATTACATCTTTATAATAATAATAATAATAATAATAATGATATTATGTACACGAACGCCTCCCCCGTCCACGTTAACACACATTCGTTATTATTGTCCGAAAGGGAGCACATGATTGATAAAATTTTGAGTATATAATTCGTTAATTAAGTAAAGCTTCGGTCGTACTTAAAAACTAGGAAAATTGTCTAACTATTGTCGTGTTTTATCCGACGGTGATTATACGAATATAATTTTTTTTTTTTTTAAATAATATCTATTTATGTATAAGAGTAATGTTATGATTGGAATTCGGCGTGCTTGTCGTTTGTCCAAGTACTCGATTCACAAGGGGATGATTCGTTAATTTTTTTTTCCTTCTTCTTCATTTTTAGTTACAATTTATATAAATATTTATACTCATAAAAATAAGTTATGATGTTATCATAAATAAATAGCAATATGTATAATATGTAACAAGTCAAAACTAATAGGAATAGTATTTACAATCTCTCTCTTTCTGCGGCCTATCGAGATACATTCGATTTCCTACCGGACGTAGAAAATTTAAAAAAAAAAAAAAAACACAATATGGAAAATACTGTTATGCGTTTTATCTTTTCGTCTAGAACTGCAATATCTGATTGATCCACTCTCGGAACTCGGATATGCGCGTGTAGACGCCCGGTTGATTGGGCTCGGCGCAACCGATGCCCCAGCTGATGACGCCCGCCAGCACCCAGCGCCTGTCACGCTTGCGCTGGATCACCAGCGGACCTCCGCTGTCGCCCTGTTGCAAAAAAATAAAAAAATGAATAAATAAATAAAACGAGCTAAAGCGGCGAGAAAATCGGTAAGACTCTCGGTATACCTCGCAGGAATCGAAGCCTCCTTTTCTCCAGCCGGCGCATATGAATATGTGCGGTATGTGCTCGATGTAGCCGGCGTTTCTGTACATGCCCTCGCAGATGGTATTATTTATAACTGGTACGGCGACTTCCTGCAGTACCGACGGCAGCGGGCCATCTGCGAACAAAATAAAAAAAAAAATCGAGATGAAACATCGTCGAAAAATCGAGATAATATAATGCAATAATAAGAATGATACCCTCGTAGAGGCGACCCCAGCCGGTGACGTAGGCCGTCTGGCCGACGTAATCCTCGTCGTCGTCGGGAATGCAGATCGGCAGGACGTTCGGCTGGAAAGGCAGCACGGGCTCGTAGAAGCGCATCAGCGCCAGATCGAACTCGAAGGTGCGCGGATCGAAGTTCGGATGACTGGCGACAATTTGAACTCGCCTTTCCTGGAAGTTGTACGGCTCGTCCTCGTTGCCCAAGTCGTGCTCGCCGATCCTCAGCAGCAGATCCGACGGCAAGACGCTATATATAAAGAGAGCGATAAATGGACATGAGTTTTTTTTTTGTGCAAGTGACTAATGCGCGCGAGCGTATAAGTGTATAATTGGAGGAAAATGTAAGTCAATGATGATTCGTACTTTTGAACGCAGTGAGCCGCGGTGATGGCCCAATTTTCATTGAGAAGAGCCGCGCCGCACTTGTGAAGATAGGTCGACGTGCGCCACTGCCTCAGGGATATCTGCGAAAAATTGTATATAAATTGTAGATTTTTAGGGAAGAATTAATCGGTATCTCGATAATAAGAGTATTATAAAGCGAGAGTCGAGAGATAGTGAAAAGAATCTTACCTGCCAAGGCCACTTGCCGAAGGTGCTGCCGTCGCCGCCGACGATCTTGGGCTCCGGGAAGAGTCTCCTACCGCAGACTGCAAGCAAAAACACGGTTGTATTGACGGCCGCGGTAGCCCGATGAAGGTTCGCCTGCCTCAGCGCGACCATGGCAGCCATGTTGGCCAGCATAGTCGACGAGAGCTATCAGCTGTGTGTGCTCTCGGACACGACGATGGCTTATATTATTTTATAACAAAATATAAAGAGTGCAGTTTTCTGCTCTTCTGCTCTCCACTACTGCTGCGCTCGCCGAGTGACGGAGAGTCACCAGAAAATATACGAATGAACGCCGCGAGTGAGACACAGGCGCACGAAAGATCACCGGAGAGAGAACCGGTATCCCTCTACTGATTCTCTGCTTTTTTTTTTTTCCTTTTTGTCGAAGGAGCTTGCCCCGCGCGCGCGCGAGATAGGTCTAGTCTCCTCTTGCCCGACCACCACGTGATTGATGCGCTTTAACGTACACGCGCGCGAGCGAGATCGCGAGTCGCAACACTTCCACTGTGCACTTATGTCATGTATTATTTTAAATGCCGACGACGATTAGAATTTATTTTAATTAATGTAATATTATACTTTTTGCGTGCGGTATAATTTTCGCGCCGCGTGACTATGATTTATGTTTAGATGTTGTTGTTGTTGTTGTTTACTACCGATCGTTATGCGACGATACAAGATATTTAACACGTACGAATTTTTTGTAAAAATTTTGACGAAAAATCTCCAAACGCTCTTTTTTCTTTTGTTTACTTTCAACTTTCCCGTGATTCCGATGCGATGACGATGCGCGCTCGTTTTGTTACTTTTATTCCGACCGAGTGAACGACTTGTCGATGACCGGAGCATATTATCGCTTCTTTTTTTTCTTTTTTGCTAAACTGAAAAATTTTACCGTGTTTGAAGTTGGACATGTTCAAGGCCGGGAACTCCTGGACGTCGGGCGCGACCGTGACCGAGGCGAAGGTCGACAATTTGTCTATGTACTCGCTCGAGGACGACGTCGATTGCGTCGTTGGTCTAGCCGGTGCGGGTGTCGTCGAGCTCGTTGTTTTGATCGTAGCACTCGTCGACGTGCTCGGACTCGTCGACGACGTCGTCGTGGTCGTTGTGGTGGTAGTCGCCTGCGAAGTCGTCGTCGTCGTCGCCTTGGGCGTCGTCGTCTTGGTCGTTGCTCTCTCCGTGGTAGTTTCCTTGCTCGCCGTCGTCGTCGTCGTCGACGAAGAGGACGTTGAAATCCAGTTTTTCACAGTGGTGTCTAGACGCGGTTACAAAGATAAAACGCGTTAAATGCAAATCGCTGCCTCTTTTTTTCTTTTCTTTTTTAGACATTATGCATGATGGATTCAAAGTACCTGCGTAAATGTCGTTATCTTTGGTTGACGTATCGACGACGTCGCCGCTATCGGACAACGAGGTCCACGTTATGATACCCGGCGGCGTGATGATCTCCTCGGCGCTGTCCTCCTCCTCCTCCTCCTCGGTGAAGGTGATGAACGTCGTCGCCGTCGTCTCGTCCGGCTCCGGTGGGCTAGTGAATCTGTTGCTGCTCGATGTCGTCGTCTTTAACGTCGTCGTCGGGATGGACGACGGTCTGGGCTTGTTGGACGTCGAACTCGCGCCGATCTTATCGAACTGCACCTTATGTGTCGTTGACGAGGGTCCAGCAGGGCTCGTTGCCGTCGAAATTGATGGGGTTGTGCTGCTGCTGCTGCTCGTATACACGTAGGGCTTGGTGGTGAACTTTTGGAAAGGCGACGTGTTGCCGATGACGATCGTCGAGGACGACGTAGGCGTGAACTTGTGGCTGGAGGTCGTCGAGGGTCTGGCCGTCGTCACGATGAATTTCGACGGAGTCGACGAGGATATCCAAGCCGTCGTCGTGGTCGTGGTCGAGCTCGGGCTCGAGCTCGTGTGGTTTCGCTTGATCGTCACGTAAGTCGGGTACTTGGTCGTCGTCGGTCTCTTCGACGTCGTCGGCTTTTTCGTGCCGGTCGAACTCGCGGCGCTGGTGCTCGGCTTTTTGCTCCAAACTTTGTTCGTCGTCGTGGTGGTCAAAGATTCCTGCGTCGTGGTAGTAGTGGCCGGGCTGGTCGAAGTCGTGGCGGGTTTCTTCGTCCCAGCCGAGGGCTTCTTCGTCGACGATCCCTTGGTCGGTTTTCTGATGGTCGACGGTTTCTTCGAGGTCGTCGTGCTCGCGATCACCGGCTGACTCGTGACGAAGCTCGTCGTCGTCGTCTCGGTGACCGGACGCGGCGTCGTGGCGTTCCTCGGTGGGAATCTCGTGCTCGACGGTATCTTCGTGGTGCTGCTGCTCGTGCTGCCGGTTGTCGACGTTTGCGTACTACTACTCGGTACCTTGGTCGTGGTCGTTTTCGATTCGCCGACCGTCGTCGTTGTCTGGGGAATTTTTTTCTTCGTCGAGCTCAGATCGGCGTTTATCCTGTCGCCGAACGACGGGGTGAACGGCTTGTGGGTCGGTTTTTTGCTACTCGACGACGAAATCGTCGAAGCCGCCGCTGGTCTCGCAGTTGCCGTCGCCGCCGAGGAGGACAAGGCCGCCAGCGACGTGGGGAAGGTCGCGATCGACGTCCAAGTCGGACTGCTCGTTATCTTTGGCGCACTGGGGGTGGTGGTGGTCGTTTTGAAATATCCACCGCTGCTGCTACTGCTACTGGCTTGAGTCGTTGCAGTAGAGGTCGAGCTCGGCCGAGAAAACGAGCTCGTGGGTCTCCAGGGGTAAGAGTTCGATAGCTTGGTGGTGAAGGGTCCGAGCGAGCTCGTCGACGGGGTCGATTTTTCCGTGGAACTCTGGACCGTCTGGAAGGTCGAGATGCGGAACGACTGAGTGGTCGACTCCGGGCTCGTGGCATACTTCTTCGTCGTCGTCGTCGTCGTCGTCGTCGTTGTCGGGGTAGTCTTGAGATGCTCCTTCTTGCTCGTCGACGAACCGGACGAAGGGCTGGTACTGCTCCTGGGCGACGTCGTCTCGACTACGACTCTATTGCTCGTGGTCGACGTCGTTCTCTCCGTCGTAGCGAAACTGGACGAGGAGGTCGGCGGCTTGGGGAAGGCAACGACCGCCGCCTGCAGATCGACGTTGCCGGGCACGTCGTTGCTGTCCAACCCCGCGGCGGCTTGTTGTCCCTCGTCGACCCGATTGCCGTCCTGGATCGCGAAGACGCCGGGCTGCTCCGCGCCGTCCGCCTCCCGGTCGATTCTGCAGCAGCTGCCGAAGTAGAAGCGATCGATGCAGGTGCCGAGGTGGGTGCCGTTAGCCTTGGCGCAGGTGAACGCGAACATGCACACGCCCTGCTCGCCAGTGCGACGTGACACGCACGGCAAGTGCCTGATGTTCCTTCCGGTACCTGTGTATAGCGTTGTTTTTTTCTTTCTTACTTTGTTTTTTTTTTAGAGCACATACATTTTGTCGTATAACAATAAACACACATTCGCAACTCGAGCCGCGAGGAGAGACTTTCTATTTTGCGCCTGTTTGAGCCTTTTAACGCGGCTGCTCTCTGACATGGATTTCGGATCGAAGCTCTGTATACAGTCTAATACACGGATCTCCGCGCGCGCGCAAATAAAAGTAAATAGAAACGAAGACACAGATAAAAAAAAAACGAACCAGAACAACGACGACGAGCGAATATAGGATAGAGAAAAAGAAAGGTGTACACGTTGACGATATAATTGACGGGTAGGTATTATTATTTAGGCTCGTGTTACTTTCAACGCGCGCGGCATTGTTTTATGTATAGACGCGCATTGGAGCATATTAATTTTGCACGAAGCGCAGAGTACACGAGTAAGCTTTTTCATGTATATATATGCGGGCGCCGCCGAGGAGAGAGAAGAGAATGGATATATATACGCTATGTATAGCGTCCAGAGTTCGGTATCGCCGAGCGCGCGATTTACCGTTAAGTTTAAATGTGGTATAAGCCGGCTGCTCGCTCTCTGTGATATAGCTGCTAGCGCGCGGGGGGGGGGGGCATTACTATATAGGTAAAGGCGCATGCCATGTGCCTTCTCTCCACTGTATATACAATTCGAAAAGTGGGTCGCGTGGCAAAACGATGGATGCAATGTAGCCTATGAATTTCTATCTCATAATCATTATCTCATAGCTCGCTCGCTCGCGAGTGTCAGCTGCTACTCGCATACACACACACATATGGCCGAGAGAGCTTTCGAATGTAATAAGTCCGCGCCGAATCGAGTACACATAGAGATGTTAGCTCTCTGCGCTGCGCTGCGCACGATTGGCACGTGGACTATATTTACTTATATCTCTCGCGTATTGCGTTGGCGCCTTTTTGACGTTCGACACTTACCCGCGGTGAGGAACTGCGGCACTATGACGGGCCCGCCGACGCAGAGCTGCAACAGGACGAGGCCACAGGCGAGACTGGCGGCCCAATTGCTGCCGTCGCGACGCTGCTGCTGCCGTGGAGTCTGCATCTGCGCAACAAAGATGTATGCATGAAAAAAAAAAAAAAATACGAAGGATCGAGGATGTATGGGAGATTTTTTACAGCCGAGTAGAGCTAGAAGCCGGGAGCGAGCTTTTTTTCGAGCCGCGCGATATACGAATGAACGCGGCGAGTGAGAGACACAGGCGCACGAAAGATCACCGGAGAGAGAACCGGTATCCCTCTACTGATTCTCTGCTTTTTTTTTTCCTTTTTGTCGAAGGAGCTTGCCCCGCGCGCGCGCGAGATAGGTCTAGTCTCCTCGTTGGAATTGACCCGCGCGCGACTGAGCACGCTCCAATAACTTTTGCGTTATTGATTTAGCGAAATTGACCGATTGACACGATGAAGGTGGTGCATAGACGACGACGACAGGTCGAGTAAAACGAGATCAACGACAGCCGACACAAAGAGCACAGTTGGACTTTCGCGACCGCAGCTTCCGCGCGATCACCCAGCGCCGCGATCGGGCACACGATCCTCGACTATACCAGGATCCTGGCTCGTTTTTTTTTTTTTTTTACTTTAAAAACACTCCTACGTTACATTATTTCTCGTTGGTGCAATTGTTATGCAAGATAATTTTGCCGTGCGGGTACGATTACGCTGCGTGGACGGATCACACACATGCGCGCGATATCATAATTTCATAATTTTATATATTAGAAGGCGTACAAAGGATAATCGTGCAGGGGACGACAAAAGCTCGACTCGCCGCTGCATAACTGCGCGTATATAGCTGATGCGCGCGTGGCACAAAAGCCGACGACGACGACAAAAAAATTGTCTCACGCGCGCGCGGATATGTGTCATTATTATCGCGATTCGCGAAAGTCCCTCCCTTCCTGCTCGCCATACTATTAACTGTGTGTGTGCAGATGAATAAGGCCCAAAGTGTCGATCGCGCTTGCCAAGAGACAGAGAGAGAGCTTTGTCTGTATAATATGATATGAACCGTACAAAGACGCGATTCTCGTACATAATGCCCACACACACTCTTACGTATAAATACCAGCACACACACACACACTCACACACACCTTAAGGTCTGCAACAGGCAGGAGCAGCAGCAGCAACAGCGAGGAGAGTACCGCTACTTCGTGTGATACTGGTTGCGTATTATATGCCCGGCACACAAACTTTCCGCGCGCGCGCTCGTTTACGGTACATCAATTCTCTCTCTCTCTCTCTCTCTTTCTTGGCTCTCGCTCGTGTATTCGCGCATGTATAAATACGTTTCACAGATACATGTACCATGCGTGCGTAGCGATTTGACAAAAGTACGGCGTGGACGTGCTCGGAGACAGAGAGCTTATATTCATCCACAAAAGCTCCGTAATCGCGCGAGCCTACACGCGGGTAAAAAGAAGAAAAAACAAACGAACAAAAAACGTAAAAAAGAACCACACACGCACGCACGGCATTTTTTCGCGCTATACCGCGCGAGCTTCGAAGTACGCCTCGTGTGTATATATATTACAAAAGACTCGCGTATTTAAGTATGCGGGTGAAGGAGGCGCGCGGACGAATTCCTAAGCCCTCTTAGTCGTCGTCGTCGACCGACCCGTTCGCCCTAACTGTAAACAGCGAAAAGTAAAAGTAACGTAATGCAATCTTGCGCGCGCGATTTCCTCCCCCCGAAAAAACCGATAAAACCACCGCGGCGATAACGTTTTCCAGGGTACTTTTTTTTTTCTTCGATTCTCGCTCGCGACTCGCGGCAAGATAGACGGCGAAGAAGAAAAAAAATTTAATTCTCGCGCTGCAGCGGCTGCGGCAGCATCGCGCCAACGAGCAAAAAGTGCGTCCGATATTATAGCTGCCCGTGTATATACGAGGGATACATAATGTATTCGAGAGAAGAGGTCATTGGACGCTGGATGGATATAATAAAAAAAAAACAAAACAAAAGAAATTTAAAAGGCCAGAAGAAGAAGAAGAAGAAGAAGAAGAAGTCGATGCAGCGAAAAATAAAAACAAACTTACCTCGGCTTTGGGGCGAGGTAATAAGGTGGACTAGATCGAAGGATCGGTGACGATCGGAATCGATCGGCTATAGAGGCAAACGAGTCGTGCTGCTGCTGCTGCTGCTGCGTTTGTTTAATAATCCAAGGCGACGACGCACTGTCTTATCATGATCGTCCCACTCTTTCTCTCGTGTTTCGCGTCAATGGCACTTGTGGCTGCTGCTGCTTCGCGGCGCTCGCGGGAAATTCGAATGTATTCAACCAACAACAAACAAGAACTACAACTGCACACAACTAACAAAACAAAGTTCACTATTTATAAGGGGTGGTGGATGGAGAAGATCAACCCTTGGCAAGCGCGTCGAGCATGATGACGATATCGTCGCGCACCGAGATGCACCGCACACGCACACCGCCACTGCACACCACAGAGTCCGAGAGCCAGCGAGAAACTAACGTCGAGCGCGTACACCAACAAGTACACAAACTACACTAAAACAGGTGAGAAAATCATAGTACACCGCGAGAGAGTAGAGAGAAGAAGAAGAAGAGAGAGCGAGAATAGCCCGAGTATAGAACACTTGACTGCTGCTGCTGCTGCTGCTGCACCGACTACATTCCACGGCGGCAGAGTGTGGCTATGTGGCGGCACTTTTTCTTCTTCTTCGTCTTCGTCTTCTTCGTTTTCTTCCCTGCTTCTGATCCGAGCAAGATGATGATGACGACGACGATGATGATGATCGGCAGCACGGACGATCGGCGCGTGGAAATCGGACGATGATAGCTCGACGACGTGTGGCTGCGTACTCTACTCTGCACCGTGTGTGTGTGTATATAAGACACTACATCCGATCGGGCGCAACGTGCTTTCGACCGCCGCCGCTTAATCCATATAGGATGAGAGAGAGAGAGAAAAGAGAAAAGAGTGAGAGAAGATAGCGCCTATATATATATACTACGTACGGCTTAAAAAGAATGAAACTCGAGGTGAAGTAGTGGCATTGACCGTTCCTTCTCTCTCTCTCTCTCTATCTCACTTCCCCACTTCGCTTCACTTATTTTCTCTCTTTTTTAAAGCTCTCTCGCTCGACAGCTATATACGTGTATGTATATAACCCGTGTACAAAACTGAGAGAGAGAGAGAGAACGACTCCTTCCACACACAAACACACACAGACACACACACACACTATCCGAGTGCATGTGCAAGCTATATTATCCTACCTTTCTGCTTCATCTCTCCCTTCCTCCTCCTCCTCTTCTGCTTCTTCTTACGCTTCTTCTATAAATGCCCGTAAACTTCGCCATGATTTTTCCTCTTCCTTCTACTTTTCTTCTGGATCGAGCCACCACCGCTGCTGCTGCTGCTGCTGCTTCTGGATCTTGTGGTAACCCCGTTTTTCCTTATACCTCCACTTACATGTGCATATACGTACAATGTACCCGGCTATATGATAGATTCCCCGCGAGTACATCCCCGACGACGTCTTGCCTCGCGTTATCCTTCGAAAAAATTCACCAAGGACATCGTCCTCCCGAGGATCGTTCGCTCCTTTTTTATCGCATCTTCCTGCTGTATATATCTGCAGCAGCCCAACTCTGCTCGGCTCAGCGCCTTTATATATACGCGTATCGTATCGGCTGCGCCGCTGCCTTTTTGCCTTTATTTTTCGTCTTGCGCACGTTTTACGCAAATTATCTAACGGTTTTGCCACACCGTTGCTTGGATTCTTTATATGTATATAAGCGAGAAGCCAAGATGTACGTATACATACGATATTATACTGGTAAATCAGGTTAATTGAATACGTACACTTGCGTATGTACATTACGCGAGTGTGTGTGCACGATGTGCGATTATATTAAAAATAAACATCCAATGTGCCGAGCGAGTACGTAGGCAGTAATCGATATGCAATTCGAAGTTCGGAAGATTAAAAATTTTTAAGCAAGGCAGACGATGGTATCCATCGTCGAACGTCGAATGAGATTGAGATACATGCTTGTAGCTCGATGAGAAATTTAAAAATGCTCCATTTACTGTTCGCGCATTGGACAGTTTTAATCAAGATCATTGCCTCGTGAGCCTCGAGCCTACTATTGTCAAAATACAGAGAATTTATATTACTATGCTCACAGAAATTGGCCTTTATATATTTTCTTTATTGTGTCTTTTATGAAATAAATGCACAATTCTCTCGATAATACATGCAGTTTAGATATTTTTAGGCACGTTACCATTAAGTGTGAAAAAGGAAAACGGAAAGACTAACGTTGTAGAACTCCAAAGAGTATAGGCTTCGAAAGGAATGAGAACTACATTTATGGACGGAGAAAGTATTTTTCTCTTGCGCGAATGCGTCTTGGGTGCGAGCGAGCCTCCTAGTGCTCGTTAGCTCGAATCAAAATATTATTTACCCAATCATTTGTCGTTTGACAATAAATTCAATGCTCTATTTTGCTTTTTATTTTCAATTCATTTCATTACTGAAGAAGAAAATTTGTTTGGATAAATGATTTGCGATCTAGCTGATTTATATTTGTAGCTCGACTATACGGTCTTCGAATTTGTAGGTGGATCGTTCGCAGTAATGTCATTTTAAACGGGTACCTTTAAAAATAGGGTTGTTTTACGTTTTATAATATGCCTCTATGCGATCACCTATTCTATTCTTTACGTGCTAGAATAGGATTTTCAAGAATATAAGAGCAATATGTATTATTCTCTTGCGCGAATGTCGGTTGAGTACGAAAGAGCCTCCTAGAGGTGATCAGTACGAATCATCATATATTTGTAACTCGATTGCCATCTTCGCATTTTCGGTCAATCGTGCGCAGTACGTAAGTACATACTTTTAATATACCGTAAACAGACAGTTCAGAGCCCGAATACCTATACCGTCTTGTAATGCATGAGTGTCTTTCTTCCTTCATTTTCCATTGAGTTGCCTAAACAGTAATATGTAAGGTAAAGATTTCTGAATTGATTAATTTACTCATTGGGCAAAAAATGCATTTATTC